TTGTTCTCCGTAGTAAGGGGGTTGGTAATGGAACCCGAATCCATAGTCTTCTCCTCCTTGATTGCTCCAGGGAGTCTCGGGGTAATACCACTCGGATGGTGGTGGATACCCCCACTGGTTGGAGAAGCCATGCGGATCCATGATTCAGATCTGCACCAACAAAAACAAAAAACACCCAAGTGAAAAGCAAGGGTGGAAAAGAAAAGAAAAACGCTAAAGTAACAAACTTCTGCCTTTCCTAATAATCTAGAAAGTCCCCGGCAACGGCGCCAAAAACTTGATGCGCTAAAACACAACACCTAACAATGGCCAAGTGTAACCAATGAAAGGGACTGCAGTATAGTGGCACAAGTAATAAATATCGAATCCACGGGTCTCTAGAGTTACTATTACTCAGCTTCAGTTCATTATCTAGCAAACAAGATTAAGGATTGATTAACTAAACTACTCTACTAACTAAACTAAGTAAAACTACTAATTACAGTTTGGGAACTCACTTAGGTATGATTCCCCCTAGCTCCTCAATTAGGTCCAAGTTGTAATTCCTTTTGGTTGTTTTACTGTTGATTAAACTGCGGAAGATCCGACAGTAGCTTGGAATCTCTTAAGCTGACCAAGCCCTCTCAGTCTAACTATCCGGCAGACGACTAGTCTTCACCGGGATAGAAAGCTGAAGCAATAAGCACAGAACTCCACTACTGGAATTGGATTCCAGTACAAAGCAGTAAACTGACTAACTCTCGTATAGCCAATCTCCTACTACCGAATGATGAGGCTCTAACAACCTAATCAGATTCTATCTATCTCAGGTTGCAGCAGAAATCTAAAAAAGTTGATCAGACTTCAATTGACTCAATAAACATGCATCATTCGATTATAATCAAACAATATAGCATCCAAAACTTCATACAAGAAAGATCCTAACTCATGGAACTAGGGTTCCTCAAAACCTAAGTGAAGGGAAGTTACTCCATAGAGAAGAGAGAGACTGCAGAAATCTGATCTAGATCTTCAATCTCCATCTCCAAGCTTGATTCCCGAGCTCCAATGGTGAAGAAATCTTCCAAAATAGCTCCAAGCATGTTCCCAAGTCGCTCTCTCTCTCTAGGGTTCGTCCCTTGGGTGTTTGGGATCAAAAACCCAGCTCTCTCTCTCCTTTGGCTCGAATTTGGGTTAAAAAACCCGATTCTGGGCGAATTACGGGCTGAATTACGGTCGTAATTCTTCCATGCCCGTATTTTGCCCAAAACACGCGTTTTGGTTAAGTTTCAGCGCACCCAAATCTCCTCTCGGCAGTGAAAATACTGGCATGGGAGGTGAAAATACGGTCGTAATTCTCTTGCCCGTAATTCTTCCCCCGCTCCTGTTCAAAGCTTCGTTTCTCCCTCGTCCGGACTCCAAATCAGTCGCCGTTTGAACCCAGACGCTCGTAGTCTCGTCCTCTTTCTTTTCATAACAAACTTCCATGATAATTTGTCCATAATATGAGGTAGAAATCCATTATTCCTCAGGTCATGCTCGTGTTTCTTCTCCCGAATTGCCAAATGATCTCCGATTGACTTGAAACTTGCGCCTACGCTTCACTTTATGTGCTAGGGCCTGAAATGTGATAAAGGAACACAACCTAGCATAAAATAGGCCAAAGAAGCGATAATGAAAGCTTAAACGATCAAGAAACAAAGGGGAAAACATGTGCAAATATCGAGTCATCAGTGGACATTTGGCCGATGTATTCGTACATGCCATCCATGCGCTCCCACACACGCTCTAAGGTGACCGATGGAGTTGAACTCTGTGCCTACGACATTGGCTCGTCTCTGGCTCCTTCATCAGAATCACCATCATCATCCTCATCATCATCACCACCATGGACACCATGAGCATTGTTTATTCGGACATACTCACCAATACGGAGCTCAAAACCCATCTTTTTCAGAGATGAAACTGTATAGAATTCCTGCCTTGACATTCTTAAGCCAACCGCACCACTTAAATCCACATTAAAATGCTCAAATAGCAAAGTCAGGATCATCCCATAGGGAAGATTCCTGTTTGAACTCTCTGCAGCAGTATGCATGTGGTAAAAGATCAAGTATGGCAAGTTCACCTTCTCATCTAACTGTAGGTTGGTGAGGAGCTCCATGTGGAAGTAGGTGACTGTCTACCGATGTCCACCCTTTGGCAAAATGTTGTAGGAAAGCATGTGGTGAAGACCTCTGGCTTGAACTGTCAGGTGGTTACTCGTTGTGATCCTGAGCATCTTTCTCTTCATCTAGACCACATACCGTCTGGATTTGCTTGGTTCTCGAGAAATGAGTTTCATTCCAAGAAGGGTAAGAATTGTTTCTCTTCCCCTCGTTTGGAGTCTCTAGTACTTCTACCAACACATTCTTGCTTATGCGCATCTCCACCCCATTCACATAGCTTTTAAATGCATGAATGGACCCATTTGCATTATGCTGATAGATGATGTTATTGTAGAAGTACTGTACCATTTTTGGGTAGTATGGTGCATTCATAGATATCACCTTCAGCCACTCAAACCCGTAATTCTCGAAATGAGAATACGCAACCGTCGTCAATGGCCTTCCAGGAGCCACCTTGCGGTTGTGCATTCTCCTCTCTTCATATTTGTCACTTTGCTCCTTTGTTTGGAACAGAGTGGGATTGAAGTCATCCCAATCAGAATTTGAGGCAGCCCCTTTGTCTGACTTTCTTTTCTTTTTTCCCTCGAAACATCATGAAATCAAACAACTGACAATTCACGTTAGACACATTTTCGAAAGGAACAAGACTCGGTCGACCTCTCCTAAACAGGTTGACCTATATACTACATGCATAGACAAAACAGAACAACGATAGGTCGACCTCTACACATCATCGGTCGACCTCTGTTTGCAAACAAAATCAATGACCCCAAACATTTACGTAAATTTACGATACAAAAACTTAAATAGGTCGACCTCAAAAACACCATAGGTCGAACTCTGTTAATCAAGCACAAATATGTGTCGAAGATACGCAAAATTGGAGTGCAAAACACCATAGGTCGACCTCAAAAAAATCATAGGTTGACCTTAGTTATTCATGCACAAATTTGGTCGAAGAAGGCCAAGACTCGTAAAAAACGTCATAGGTCGACCTCAGAAACATCAGAGGTCGACTTCACTTGATCAAAAGCTAGAATAAGTCGACCTCAGCTCATAAAAAACGAGAATTGATCCAAGAAAATCGTAATATTTGGAGTGCAAAACATCATAGGTTGACCTCAAAACATCACAGGTGCCAATCTTCTTCACCTTAATCCTCTTCTATGTTCTCAAGAAAGGATACCTCACATCGATGTGCTTAGTCCTCTCATGGTGTACTTGATCATTGGCCAAGCATATTGCACTCAAACTGTCAAAATAGACCACTACTTGATTATGAAGTAGACCCAGATCACTAATCAGCCCCTTTCTAGCTCACCACAAAACTCTTAAGATTGTACATAAATGGCTATAGATCTCCTCGTGTCAACATCTCTAGCATAATCATAATCTAAATAACCAACCAGAAAGCACTATGTGTAACTTTTGAAAGATCATCTTCACAGCCTGCCAATATTCTTTTCTAGGTTGAACCATGAAACTGATGACAACACTAGCAACACGTGCAAGATCAGGTTTAATGCAGACCATAGCGTACATCAAACTACCTACTCCACTAGCATATGGGACGCTCGACATGTACTCCTTCTCAGCCTATGAATTTGATTCATAAACTAAGGATAGATAAATATTTGATGCATAGGAGTATTTAAGGGCTTTGTTGAAGACAACCCAAAACTAGGCAATATCTTATGGATGTAGCTCTTCTGTGACAAGAAGAGCTTCTTCTCCCTAACCCTGTAAATCTCCATACTAAAAATCTTCTAAGCAGCTCCCTAAATCCTTCATATCAAGATCCGGACGCCTTATGCTTGATCTCTCTCATTTGAAGAGCAGATCTAACGTCAATCTTCCAACGACAATCTATCTATACCAACAATAAGAGAATCCACAAAATTCTCATATGAACTCGGCAAAGAAACAAGCAGGATTAGGGAAGTGTCCTCGTCATCAACTTTAACATATATGTTATGAAAATCAAACAAGATGGAATTAAGTTGTTCCAGATGTTCAAGGCGTACCTTTTGCATCCTCATATGACCAACCATTGCTTGAGATGAAGCTTGTTGGTTAAGGACTTCATCATATACAAACTTTCCCGCTTCAACCATAAGCTCGCGACAGTCTTCTCAGCAGCGACTTCAATGATGATGTCATTAGACAACAATAACATGATGGTCGAGTGGGCCTTCTCCTCTAGGGCACTCCACTCATCATCATCGACCCTTGTCTTCTTCGGCTTTCCAAACAGTGGCCCCACAACCTTTGCTGTTTCAATAGCATCTTCATCTTAATCTGCCATATACCAAAATTGTATTTCCCTATGAACTTTTTGATTTTCACATTCACTAACGTCATTCTTCAATCTCGAAACTCTGGCCTGATTTCAAACCGTGACGCTCTGATACCACTTTTTGTGACGGTTTCTACGGATTGATCTATTAGAGGATCGACAAAGCAAGAAAATGAAAGCAAGAAATGAAACAAGACACACGATTTTAAATGGTTCACTAACACGATGTGTTAAGCTTGTCCATAGACACGAGAGAGCCAATTTCACTATACTTTGAGAATGTACAGATTACAGAGGAGTGTGAAAAGTATTTATAGTACTTCTCATATGGTCTGAACCCCAATCCAATATGGTAAGAATAAGGTTAAGACCGGTCGTCGCCAGATAGTCTGATTAAAGTCATATCAACATGCTTTATGATAATTTTAGTGTTCTTTCTCGTTTTTTGGTATGCATCTTTTTGATGTTTCTGAGCTATTTTATGAGAATTATCATGTGATTTCTCGTGTTTCTAATATGCTTTATGAGATTTTTGGTTTGCTTTTTTTATCTTTCTCATCCTTATAAGATATTTATAGCTTTCTTTTTCGTGTTTATAGTGTACTTCAGGAGATTTGTGGTGCGCTTTATCGTCGTGTTCCTAGTATTTTTATGAGATTTGGTGTGTGTTTCTCATGTTTCTAATATACTTTGTAGTATTTTTTTTTAATTTGATTTCTCGTATTTATTTATGATATGTTTTATGTGATTGTGGTGTGATTTAGGAGATTCTGTGAGCCATTTTATTATCTTTTTGGTCTTCTTATAATTTGCTTTCTCGTATTTCTATTATACTTTTTCGTGTTTTTTAATTATGTTGTTTTCTTGTATTTTTTGTCGAAGAATTCCTAGCATTCAGCTTCAGCCACGAAACTAAAGAACCCAACATTCAATTCCCCATTCTCTCTTCACAAAAAGTTTGTCAAACTGAATTAAGCCATAAAGTCGGTTTGACAAGTGATTTAAGGTTTAAGGGTCGGATTGGGTTCAACCAGTTCAAGTCATTTTAGCATAATATATTAGAGAACCTATAATACAAAATAAATTATGCATATATTTGAACTTATTTAAAAAAAAAACTCACTAACTTACATTCATATATTACCAAATTATCAATCCTCATTTTACAATTCGATTTAGACTGATCAAACCACCTGATTTTGACAGGTCTAACCGATTTTCACTTTTTCTGGAACCGTCCAATTAAAACCGGTTGTAATCGGACTTAATTAATTAAACCGGCCGGCCGGATAGAAGTTTGACTACTTTGCATCAAAACAGGTAGCCATGAAAGCAATATACTGATTCAGCTATATATGCTGCAACTGATAAGTTAATACACATGGATCAAGTTTTAAGAAATAACGAGCTGAAACCTGAAGGTATGAAAAAAATATCCAGATCCGACAAAACGACGTGTCGGTAAATAGAAAGTCAGAAACAAGTACCCTCATTAGTCTCTCGCACAGCAAAAGCTACGGAGACAAGCAAAGCAGGGGAGTTAGGTCAAAATATAAAGGTTGGGACTGTTAGCTTTGTGTTGAAATTCTTCAAAGGAAATAGGCCAAGCGAGGTTGAAGTAATCGGCTTCATCGTTCTTATTACGATTGGGATTGATAGGGAAAGAGTGAGGCAACACATGGACAAGTAGGTTATAAATCAACTTTTAATATTTTAATTTGATTATGTTTTACTTTTTATGTTTGACGAAAATGTTGTTATCCTATAATCCTAACAATATTTGGGGCGTTGTGATCCTAGAATGAACTTTTTTTTGCAGAGAATGAGTGGTTGTTATTCATCGTATTTATAGGAACACTAATTTTTTAGTCAATTGTATTGCTTATCAAGGATCACCTATTAGACCCGAATATATTTCTTTTAATTTTAAGGATCCAAACATTGATCGTTGGCTTTTGTATGACTCTGTTGACGAGTTTGTAATCCACAAGATTTAAGTTTAAGATACGGATGCTTGCACCATTTTCACACAAAAGAAAGGTGGTTGATCCTAGAAGTAATATAATAAATAATTCAACGAAAAAAGTAAGCTTATATATTTATGAAATGTCTGACATACAACAATATCTAATGAGAAACCAAGTTGCCAAAATCAAATCACCAAGCAACTAAAAATGAAGCAAATTACATTGAATACAATCCTTCCACTGATCAGGGAGTTTTCCCCCAAGAAAAGCATCTCATAAACCCGGTACTACAATCTTTATTCCCTCGCAGTCATAACCCATTGGTACCCACCGAAACAACACAGCCGACGGAAGCTACAAACTTTTACACATATGAAAAGACTAGACAGTTAAAACTGCACTAAGAGAAGTTGTCCATGGCCAAGACGGTACTGAGATTCATTGGAGAGATAACATCGGGAGAACCGTTCAGGATCGTCTGGACGATGAACCCGTTGGCCCTTTCTGACGGATGGAAAGCATCCCAAAACACATTCACATCCCGATTCTGACACAAGTTGGAGGCCGGGGTGCACAGGCCTATCCCGTTGTACGGCCCCTGCCCGCAGCAAGCAACCTCTGAATCTGTAAACCCTACATAATACAATAAAGGAACCAAAACAAAATGAAAATCTGAATGCCTCATACAATACAAACAATATCGACTATCAAAATTCATACGTTGAAGTGGAACAATGGGTGAAAACCAAATAAGTGGAATCATTAAAAGAACCATACTTTCTATCCAATTGTGTCTCAAAAAGTTTGAAAGCTAGCTAATTGATCAAATAGTAAGTTGTAGGACAAGGCACATGGGTGAAATTGATGGGGGTGGCTCCTAATTGGGGTCATTTAATTAAAGAAGATGAAACAAATGTAGGGTGCCCCTAGAAATGGGGGCAATTGGACCATTTGGGTTAGTAAATGCCGTTTAGATAGGGGGAGAAGAGTGTGGGTGTCATTTTCCTTCTTTAATATTTTTGTTGTTGGACATAATTGGCCGCATCTAGGCTCTAGCTAGCAACCAAGTTGTCACCTTAATTAATATCATTATTATCACGTTCCTGTTTCTTCTCTTTTATTGGTTCCTAAGGGTACCCAATTTGCCACGTCCTATATCCATCAAGCATTACAGCAATGTCTCTTTCTAAAATCTAACAAATCTAGCTATCTCTTATAATATCATTATTATTAATTTATTATATCATATTGCGTATATACTGGTTATTTCGGTGCACTCACTTTTTTCAAGTGTATTCACTCTAAAATTGGTTATAAATATAATACATCAAAATTTGAATTTTAATTGGTAGCATTCGTCTAATATGATGATTTAATATAGAATCACAACTAATCAATTCATTATAATAATCCCTAACCTTCAATCTTGAATCGCAATCCAAAACCCCAAATTGTAAACCTAAACTCTAAATCCCTAGAGCGCAAATCATTCAAATTAATGTAAATCTTATGAAATTTGTAAATTTTTCTGTGGTTTACTGTCCTTCTTACTACAAGTGACAATTGACATCGTTTTTACATAAATTGTATTCTCAAAAAAATGATTATGAGGCGAGTGCATTGAATGCATCTAAAAATTGAGTGAATCGAGAGATAACCATATATATATTCACCACATTTTTGCCCAAACATGTTTCCCAAGGCATGATCCCATATATATGAATATGACACATGATCATACTCTATAAAAAAAATATATATATATATAAATAGCATGCTAAAATTAGAGTATTTATATTTATAATCGATAAAAAAATTTGTGCAATTTATATATGTCTTAAAGAGTAAAAATCGTAGATAATTGATAACACATAGAATTTTACCAAAAGCCTCGGGATTGCTGATGAAGTCGTTGGTCATCATCCTAGTATTAGCAGCAATGAACACGCTTTCCCCAAGCTCCGAATTCAGCTCCCCAATCAAATCAGTGAGCTGCGGGTTGAAGAGCGCCGCCGCACGTTGGAGCTCCGGAGCGCACTGACCAGCGACGCCCCTCATGGCCCGCTCTGCCGGCACGCAACCGAGCGGGCCGGTGCCGGTGACCAGAACCCGGCGGGCTCCGAGGTCGTAGAGCCTCTCGAGGAGCTTCCTGTACTCGGAGATGAGGTAGTTCACGTAGTCCGGGAGGGCGTACTGGCGGGAGCGAGCGGAGAACGGGACCAAGTAGTAGTTGTTGACGAAGTCGTTGCCGCCGACGGTGATGAGAACGAGGGCTTGGTTCACCAGCTGCTGGGCCTGCTCCGGCCCGATCAGCGCTGCCAGCCGTGCTTGGTACTGCTCGAAGTATCGGTACTGCTGGAACATCCTTATTATGTTCACCTACGTTAAACGTACATTCACTATCATCATCAGTACGTGTAGTATTATTATGTTATACTCTACGATGTTACGTAATTTGGCTTATTATTAGAGTCGTATTTAATTTTCGTATTAGTGTTAGTGTTATTATCGAGTCTACCTAATTTCAGGAATAAAATACATCAATATTCACCGAATTTTGATTTAGTACCATCCAATAACTCAAGTTTTTTTTTTTTTTTGGTAGTAAGGGAGAGGCTTTAGGAGGTTGAGAGCTTACGAACTGAACGCCAGTGTCATTCAAGATCCCAATGCCGGCGGAAGCAAAATTGGCACCGACAAGCAGCCTTTCACCGTTCAGCTCTGGGCTCAAGTACGGCAATGTGGGCTCCGACCCAAGTGCTTCACCTAATGAGTCAGGTGCGGCCCCAACGTGATATACACAATTAATTAATTACACAAGAAAGAAATAATGCGATAAGTTGCACTTGGAAGGAGTTAAAAAACGATGTCGTCTCATAAATATGTCTATATGAAAATACGACGTACTGATGAAATCAGGGATGTTGCGGCCATTGGAGAAGCGGCCGGAGGGGCGGCCGGAGGCAGAGTCGATGCCGTAAGGAGGCGAGTCGGCGCGAGCCGTGGTGGCCAAGTAATTGTTGTTGCCATTGTCGACCAGCGAGTCACCAAATACGAAAAAAGCCCTACCCTCCGCCACGTGGGCTACCAGACTGCACCCCAAGATGGCTACTGCCACGGCCAGGCCCAAAACCGTTGATGCCATTGCAGTGAAGCTAGCTAGAGAGAAGGAATGGAGATACTATAATTGTTATGCAGAGTTTGGGGAGTCTTGATAGGCTTATATAGTGGCACACAAAGTGATTTAGCTAGCCAGAGCAGTAAATATCATGCAATAAAAAAATTAAAAATGAAAAGCTGCTTGCTAGCTGGAGCTAGGTAGGCCCACAATTGAATTGAATGAAGGAGAGGAGAGTGCAAAAAGTTAGCTCAGGGAAGGGATTGGTTCATTAGTTTGTTTGTTGTCATGTGGAGGGACAATGACATTTGTCAGGGAGTCCCGACTTTTCACCAGTTTCAACCATTTGCTGGGAGGCTGGTAAGTAAGGTAACTACTATTGATCAGTCAGCGTGACGACTATTGATCAGTTCATGGATGCGTGTAGATTTCGTTTGCGGTGGGTTTGAGTTGGATTGTGCTATTTTCATCTCTATTCTTCAAATCTATAGTTTTCTTCTTTGCTATGTACATGGTAATTGTCTAATATTAGAGATGTAATTGGGAGTTACATGTAACTCCTCGTTACACTTTTGAATATAATGTTAAGAAATGTAATTATACGTGTTGTGCCAATAAACAGAGCACACATTTGTACCAACAATGAGACGAACGAGAACACTTCTCTTGTATATTTCCTCTCTACTTTTGTTATTAGGTTTGTTCCTCTCTCCTATTGTTTTTATGCCCCTGTTATGAGGATGAAGCTCTATGCAAATGTTATGATTGGTCAATGTCTTTCTATATCACATAATTTGTGGTGGGGGTGGGGGGTAGGGTTTGCTATACCACCAAGGTATGTAGATATTCATGTTAGTTTTCATCCATCTTATTGTCTTCGGTAGATTATTAGATCATATTGTTTTAGCAATCTAACTATTCTTCTAGTTATGTGTCCCAATGTTTTTTTTTATAATGTTGATATAGATTAAATAATAAATGTAAGAGTTACAAAGAGGGAAGGAAAAAGAATCCCTCCTCTAGAAAAGCCAAACAGACAGCGAACAAGAACAAAACTGCAGCATAGAAAAAACTATTAGGCAAAAGCCACGTCACTGGAATCCCGTCAATGAAAACTGATCAGAACCCTCATCACCCGCCGCAAGGTAGCTCGGGAAGAGCCGATCCTTGGCCAAGCACCGCCACTAATCAGCAACAGCTCTGTCGACCCTGCTCGAGGCGCAAAGCCAGTCATGAATGCTGCAAATGATTCTAAAACAAGTTCCTCGAATCGAATCGTAATCATCTCTAAAGATCCGAGCATTCCTCTCCAGCCAAATCCACCAACAAAATGCATGTAAGAAGACGTTCGAGCACCACTCCTGCGGATTGGAAGCAGCACTGCAGCGCCATGATCTGATGGTAGTGACAATGTCTTGGGACTGATCTTGAATCGGAACGAAAGTGCTCATCCCCTTCCACACTTCGCGAGAGAAACAACACAAGAGGAAGAGACGGTGTATCGTCTCTTCATCCTTGCCACACAACACACAATGACTTGGAAAAGACCAACCTCTACGCTTAAGAGTATCATGTGTAAGGATCTTCTTCTGGAAAACAATCCACAAGAAGACAAAAACTTTGTGGGGGATGGTATTATGCCAGATCACCTTGACAGGGAAGTTAACCGCCATGGATCTGTTCTCCTTGATGAGCTCCTCATAGAGTGATCGAGTACTGAAACCGACATCAGGAGCAGGCTCCCAAACTAGTCGCGCCGGACCTGCAAAAAGATGGTTAGCGGACACATTGCTAAGACTCAACAAGAGGTTCTCACGCTCTCTCTCAGCCCCCCCCCCCTCGCAAATTATGAGTAAGTGGTATTTTCCAAGAAAAACCCTCACTATTAACCCCAACCACATCGGCGATCCAGCAGTCCGGCGAAGCAGATGCAGCGGCCACCCGCGGAAAATCCCGGGCAAGAGCTCGACCATGGAACCACATATCATCCAAAGGGACGTTCCAATCCCAGAACCTGGTTCAACCCGAGCGAATTTCCAAAACACATCCCTAAGTTTTAAGATTTCTGTCCACGGACTAGTGCCGGCAGGGCCATTAACCGGACCTGACATCCACTCTGACCGAGAATTTGGGTACTTAAGGTTTATAAGTTCTCGCCACTGAGCTCCTCTTTCAAGAGCAAATCTCCACCACCATTTATATAGAAGTGCCTGATTTCTTAACTTGGGGTCGGCAATACCAAGCCCGCCAAGTTTCTTGGCCCTTTACAAACATCCCAGGCAACCAGATGAGATTTCCCGACACCAAGAGTACCCGACCAAATAAAGTCACGCTGCGCCTTCTCAAGACGATTAATAACCGAAACCGGGGCCTTGAATAGACTGATTATATGAATGGGCTGGCTAGATAACACTGCCTTGCACAAAGTAATTCTGCCCCCGAGTGAGAGATAGTTCCTTTTCCAACCAGCTAGGCGACACTCAACCCTATTGATAACTTTGTTCCAAACTGGGACCGAAGAAGGGGAGGCTCCAAGCGGGAAACCCAGATACTCAGTGTAAAGGAAACCCCAATCACAACCTAGAATCTCAGCAATTCGATCAATGTTGTCCACATCTCGAACCGGACAGATTTTACTTTTTTCAAAATTGACCTTCAAACCGGTAATTCTCTGGAACCAAATCAGTGCAGCCGTAAGATTAATGGCTGCATCCTCCGATGCATCGCAGAACATGATCGCATCGTCGGCATACAACAGATGATTCATCTCCCCCGTCTCATTGTAGTCGTCCATAAAAAAGCCTCTTATGAGTCCTGACTCTTGAGTTTGATCCATGATAAAAGAAAAGATGTCCATGACCAAGTTAAACAAGAACGGTGATAGAGAATCACCTTGCTTAAGCCCCCGCTGTCGATCAAAATAACCAGCAACTTCTCCGTTGATCAGGACTGAAAGTTTAGTAGAAGTAACCACCCCCTTCAACCATTTCTGGAATCTCGAACAAAGTCCCATATTCTGCAGAACTTTAAACAGACATCCCCAGCTCACTGTATCGAATGCTTTCTCAATATCTAGTTTAAAAATGATTCCCGAACGCCCACTTCTTTTGCGACTATCCACCAGTTCATTTGCAATGAGACCAGCCTCATGAATTTGTCTTCTCTTGATTCCTGCAAACTGTTTTGAAGAGATGACCCTGTCCATAAACGGTTGTAATCGATTGAAGAGAAGCTTCGAAATAATCTTATTTAGGCTACCAATAAGTCTAATGGGACGGAAGTCTTTAACCTCTTCAACAACCTCCTTTTTCGGGATCAAGCAGATGAAGGAGTGGCCTATAGAATCCGGAACGAAACCCAGCAAGTAGAACTCGTCCACGACCTTGATCACATCTCCCTTGATGACATTCCACGCTTTTTTGAAGAATTCCAGAGTAAAACCATCAGGTCCTGGCGCCTTGTCCCTGCCACAAGAGCAGACTGCATTCGAGACTCCCGAACACCCAATGTTTGCTTTAAATCATATTAAAACTTATGTTACCAGTTTCTTATTCGTATTGGGATGATCTTATTTCCATTGACGGATATTTTACTAAGTATGTATGTTTTGGTTAGTACTTTTGGATGCGTAATCGGATATATATTATCAGATTACTTTATAGAATATATCGATCTCGTAAAATAAAATTTGTGTTTTGATATTATAAAAGGAAAATTGATCCATCACTTGCAAGATCAAGAAAGAAGAAATATAAGTATTAAGTTAATTTCTCTATTTATCCGTAACATTTTATTTATTAAAATGTTAAACATTAGCATGTAGAGTTATGAAAGTTCCATCCAATAGGGATGAGATAGCATGACTACCCCTAAAGGGGTTGGAAAAATTACACCCCCTATTAATTATATGCTTTTAAGGTAATTGATTTGTATTGTATTTGATAATCTGTCTGAATTAAAAACTCATATTAATTATTTTCCTTTTTTCAGTGTAATGGTAGTTCTACCAGTGCAATGATATCAGTGTACATGTGCAATGGTAGTTCAAAAAAAGGAATGTAATTAATATGAGTTCAGTGTACAAGTGTAATGATAGTTGTATCAGTGCAATGGTAATTAAAAAAGGAATGTAATTAATATGAATTTTTAATTTCCAAAAATTATTAAATACAACACGAATTTAATACCATAATTAACTATAATTAATAAGGGGTCTCATTTTTCCAACCTAATAAAGAGATTAGAGACAAAGGAAGTAACGGAGATGGTAACAAAAATGGTGTAAATATATCTTATCTTTTTAAAAGGTAGGGTTTCTTGCTCTTGAGTTATCGGACCATTTTGGGGTTCTTATCAAGATGAATGTGCCCAATCATTCCTATCAATGTTGTCAGTACTGAACCTGAGCATAACCCGGTAATGCGAACGGCTCGCACTATAATGGTCTAATTGGCATTAGACCTTATAAAACCCGTTAGAGAACCGGTACCTAATAAACGTTATCAGTACAAATAGTGGACATTTCTTAATCAGAGCTCGTCTCTTTCCCTCAAAATAATGAAATGGAAATAAGGATTCAGTTTGAGAGCCCGACGTTTTTTGTTTATTTTAATTTTCTGCAATTTTTGTAATTAAATTTAACGCCTGAATGGCAAAAACCGGACGAGCGGCTCGATCGGCTCGAGTGGTTAACCGCCTCGGCCGCTCGTCAATCGCTACATAAAATTGGAGCAGCTTTTAGACTGTTTCGAGCCGATTTTGTGATCGGGTGGCGGTTTTACCGGTCGGACCGAGCGGCTCGACTCGGCTTTAATAACACTGGTTCCTATCCTAATCCCTTTCAATTTTGTGATATGTGGATGGAGCATGAGTGGTCGAACCCCGTGCAGGTCATGTTAGTTGTTTGGATGACCTAAATAACTACCTCATTTCGAGTCAAGGATAATTTGAAATGGCATTGTTAATATAGTGGTAAGGGTGGAGGACCGGTCAGTTCGGTTGTAACCGATAATCGAAGGGTCCATTATCGGTCAACCGAACCACCTCCCAACCCTACTAACCACCAATCGAAAGAGGGCTTAAATCTTTGATTATCTCGGTTTTCGTTTAACCGAACAGCCCCTAAGACCAAAACCATATCACCCAGCCTCCGAACACCGACTGAGTTTCGGTTATCTTGGTTATCGATTAGTGGATAACCAGCCGATTTTGATTGCCGATTTTGATTGTACTGTAACCGGTCTGTTAACCGCTAACCGATTGTCCAGCCGTATATAGTGGTGACTTTTTTCTTCTTCTTTTCCTGCTATCATCAGTGTGTTCTGTATAAGTGTTGACAGGATGTTCAGTCCATGTTGAGTTAGTGCTTTGATGACTGTGCTCAATTGCTGCTTGGATGAATATTCAGTCTCAGATGAACTCGTTACCTGTGGATTGATTTTACTTGTAGTTAATCTTGCTGCTCCATTGATGTAACCACCCTTGGTTGCTTGCATCAGTTAATTTTGTGGATGAACCCTATTCCTACTGTTAGTGTGATTCCGGGTTTGGATGAGGATAATGAAATCAAATGTCACCATTGTTGCCAGCTTTGCCGAAGACAAGTTTTGCTATCCATTAAATGTAGCCAATTCTTTCGGCAACTACTCGACATTGATTCAAACTACTTTTGGTTGAGCTAGCTAGCCAATAATAATCAATCTTGCATAGTTACGTTGGGGATTAAAATCTTTCGATCGTTTTCACTACATTTTCCCCTTTTTGTAATTCAACTGTTGTATTATTTTAGTATAGGTTGCTTAATGCAATCCAACCATTTTCGTTCCCCTCTCAATTTCTTTGATTTTCTGTTGTGCCCACAAAATCCCAAATAGCTAGATACTCCTTTCTTATTAATATATATAAAAATTTGAAGCTGGGTTACTGTTGCCTAATTATTTGTACTTTCATATTCCAAATTTAATTAAATCACAGTTTAGTCACTATAATGTATATTTTACATTTTGATACCCCAAATTTAATTTTAATGTAAAATCCTGAACAATTATGTTTTGGTATCTAAATTTTATGAGATTTTCGTATGTACAATTTTTTAAATTTATATATTGGTCCAATGTTTAGATTTCACTTGAATCCATGAATTCAATCCACCAATCCTTTTGAACCAATGCATAAATCAAATCCACCATAACGTAAAAGTATAAATCAAATCCACCATAACGTGAATCATTAAATAAATGATAAAAGAAAGACGACTCTAAAACATTACAAGAGCGAATTTATAAACTCATTTAGTACATTTACGGGGTACTAAACAAACTTCTACTAACTACGTGTAACAAAATATGCGACATCTACATAAGCAAATGTCAATAATTTGCTACATTGAAAAGGGTTGACTGTTGTATTGACGTTCAACTAAAAGAATTGGTCAAAACCTTTCCATCATCTACTTTCTCTTCGTTTCATTTTTTCACTCACCCTCCATAACCCTTTATTTATTTCTTTCTTTGCCTTCTTCGTCTAACCCAAATTAGTATACTATTTTTATGTATTCTAATTACAAGTATAAACGGGTCCATACACGACTCACCAACAGTCTAGAGAACTAATAATTGAACCATGAACCACTAACTTTTACAACTCAATGTCCAATTCAGTAAAAAATAAATAAATATGTTATTACTTATTAGAAAGCCATCATTTTTCACTATGAGATTTGAGGGCATGAAATTTTAAGCGAGTTCCAGTTTGTATTCATTTTGCTTCTCTCTATAGTTTTTCTTTTCCACCCGGGCTACAATTTTCAACAATTATACATGAAATGTTTGGCTAGGTATCTACACATATCAAATAAATAGTTTTTATTTTTCTATAAAAAAAGTAAACAACTATCACCTTAAATACATCACCATAAAAGGAATTAAGCCTCAACTATGCAAATTATAGTTATGTACCTAAACTAAATAGATCTTTAGATTTATAACCTAAAATTATTTTTTTTGCGTATAAGTCCTCAAAATGTTGATGGAACATCATTTTAGTACCAAAATGTTTTTTTATTATATTTTGGTACCTAAACTTTTAATGTTCTACACATAGGTTTAATTTTTGTATATGTAATTAAAACACTCTCGAATAAATGGGTATCCATACCCAACTCATACACATTTAGATTATGAAAATAAATATCCAAACCCTACCCAAACCCATCTACAAACTTCCAATCCATATATACGCCACCCATACCCTACCTATAATCAATGGGTTTACTTGGGTTTAGCTAAATATCATTTACTACCCAAAATTTTCAATTTTTTTTAAATTGAATGTTGACCGCCATATATATGTTCTCAGTCAAATATCATTTACTAGTGATAATTACCAACGTTGAAGATCTTCAACGTTCTGATACCATAACTAGTTTTTTACCAGGCCAGTTGGCCGGAGAAGTTCATTTTATTATTTATATTAGTTAACTTATCTACATGTTTGAACTTTTTGGATCTTGTATACATTTTCTGCTCTCGCTTCATAAATGAATATGTGGTACGCCTATACCGAAAATTCTTAATATATAATAGTTAGCACACTCGCTTGTGATGTTTTTATTCTCTAATCATAAATCATGTTGTAAAGGTTTATCACGTCCCATTTAGGATCGTATATAAATTTTTTTCCCACCAAGACGCTCAACTTTATTATCTTATACAACAACATATATCAATTAATCATTCTCGAGTTTGTACGAACTCTCAGCCAATTAATTAGAGTTCAAATTATTGGAAAAATATACTTGATTACTGGATAAATTATGTTTATCCCAATTGAAATTTGACACACATAGTATCCCTTATAATGAATAAAATTCTCTAAACCTCACTCATTTTTATTTTTGATGTTCATGAAGTCTTTGTATAGCAACTTATGACAATTTTTCTATCAAGATACAAATTATTATTATCTTACAATATATATCAATTGCTAATGTTTTAAGTTTGGACTAACCCTCAACCTATGCCTTTTGTCTAGATCTTCGTTTAGAATCTGAATCTAAGGCATTCTTATACACTATCGAAGGTTCTCATCTTAACGTGTTCCTTCAATGTATAATTTTTCAACTATTTGAATGTCCATTCGCTAAAATTTCTTTATATTTGGTGTTTGCTCTAGAACAAAAATTTCATTACTTATATTAATAATTGGTAAAGTGTGTATACGACAGACAAATATTTCAGGTGCATTCAAAATTATGTATTCCTTGAACAATTAACTTATAATTTTTTAACAAAATATTTTGTAGCAAAATTTAAAAGTTCATACAAACATTGTGGCTTTCACATGTATTTAAATTATCGGATGTATTGTAGACACATCTATTGTTAAAATCTAAACATATATATACAGAGAGTTTATTTTACTTTCAACACTAATTAATACCTTTGAACTAAGCTCCTTCAGTGGAATATGATATGTCAAAATTTGGTATGAAATCAAAGGCTCACAACTATATAGACTTGTTACAATTTTCTTACTAAACTCATATTTATTAAATATTCTTCTTTTGACCCAATAGCTCGGTTTACACTATTGTAACTATAAATGTTTTTTGTTATATATGTGAAGTAAAACATTAATGTTTAATAATTACCTCAATCGTCGAATTTAGATTTTTCTTATCATGAAATGTGATGTTTAACGTACATCCTTAACAATGATTTCTCTAAATTTCACACATTTCATTTTTAAGGGATCTCGTGTCTCATCCTAGAATATGAAGTCAAAGTTCATCAACTATTATACTCAAGTCATTTTGGAAACTTCAATTTATAATCTTTAACAATAAATAACTCCAAGTCTGAAAAGAAAATTTCTTAGCATATGATGTAAGACCTCAATAGAGCTTGCTCAATCAACATGGCCTAGAGAAAATATTAGTAATATGAACTTAGGATACATTATAAATACTGCACATGCGATTCATATGTTTTCACTTGATGAGAATGAATATCAACTCCCTTCGCCCATCGGTCGAACATATAATAAACCTATCTGTCGAGCTAAAGCTTTTTTAATAAATAACTATTATTTCTTGGTCAAGTTTCTTTCAGACCTTATCGACAAAATATTCTTATTTTTGTGTGTTTGTTTAAATTATTTATTAAAATATAAATTATTATTAAGTTTTAGTAAAAATGAGCAGAATTTTACATAGTAATCTTTAATAATATATTTTTTTGTTTAAAAAGTGTGATATATATGTCACTTTACGAACATTAGTATACTGTTACGTACATCGATATAATGCAAAAAAAAGTGATATATGTCACTCTCCATCATGATTGTCACGTCGGTCGGCATGCCATCGGTTGAACCATTCAACCAGTACCGGTCATGAAATCGACATGACACCATCGGAATGACCGGTATGATCGTTTTACGAATTTCTAAGTAAAATACGTAGTTCTAGTAAATTTAAGTATGAGTACATGTAATTTTATTTAAAATATCATATTTTATTCAAATATCAATATGAATAGTATGTAAATTGTCTTCAAATATGGTTTATATATGATTAAATTCATTTGATATTAATGATTTTTTATATTTTTACATATTTTATTAACCGGCATGAACCGACACAAACCGGTTGTACCACAGGTAAAACCATTACACTTGCTAAACCGGTTTGATAACCTCTGTCTCCATATATTATTTATAGATATAATGCAAAAAAAAATTATTGGATAAAAGAGAATTAAATATTAAATGAAGAGAGAGGGACAACTCCATAAATAGGTCAATAACTATTTTTTTGGTAAAAAAATTGTCCACCTTGGCAACTTGAGATCTCTCCAAGTGCTTATGTGGCAAAAATTTAATTTTGAATTGCCATAATATTATGTATAGATAAATAGATAGATAGATGAATAAGGAAATTATTTTTTGAAGGAAGTAGCTTGGATTGTATTTTTTTAGGTCAGACGTACCGGAAAGAAGAAAGACCGTATAAACCAATAATAATGCTCCTAAATGTTTCTCTCATGCAATCGAGAATAAGAAAAATATGACTAAATATCCATTCTATGATTGTCCACTATTTTTGGATTTATGATTGAGCTGAACGGTACATGTTTGAGCCACAGAAACAAAACATTGCTATATAAGTATTTTCTTTTCCTTTTTGAGAACACATTACTAATAGAAGTGGTGTACTAGGGTTGAAAATGAAAATGAAAATGAAAACAAGAGCCTACACCTCGTTATCAGTCCGACAACATGTGACTAATTTGCTAAAAACCCCAAGAAATTGAGACAATCAACGGGCTTTGATGGTGATCATGAACATATGGTCGAACCTACAGAGACAAAACAACCGAAAAGTTGATGATATAGATTTTTGTTTGAAAATATCGGATTGCATTAAACCTGCTTGGTATCTTTCAGGACTCTGCTCTATGGGAGAGCCATATATGCCCATCGCCAATAATATGAAAAAATGTTGCAATCCTATCCAACCCAAACGAAAGCAAAGAAAATTGAAATTTGTCATCATTTTATCCCAGGTAAATGCTAAGTTTGGTTACTGGGTTTACTAAAATATGTCATATTTAGTCATTGAAAAAATTAATATCAATTTTGGTAAATCAAATTACTGAAACAGTATACGTTTGGTCACTCTCCGTTAGTTTCCGTCCAACTCCGTTAACTATGTATGTTATGTGCTGACGTGGCAAACGGAATAGCCTAATAAGCAAATTTTTATCCTAAAGAATTGAAATCTTACCCGCCACATCAGAAAAACCCGCCACTTCAGTATCCTCAATCCAGCCCTTGACCTACCCCTCCCAACCCATGACATATCCTACCTCACCAATCCTCTGGTGTCTCCATTAACCTTCGCAAAACCAAATCCCCAAAACCTTCTATCATTCTCTTCCATTTTCCCAGAAAGCAAACACCCCCACCCACCACTAATAAGTAATAACACACCACCACACAATGTCCGACACCACCAAGAAAAAGCTGGTTTTCAGCTCTGCCGCCGTCGACCTGGACTGCGGCGCCGGCAGCTCAAGGAGGCTCAAGAAGCTCCTCTACTCCATTTTCCACCCCAAGCCCAAACCCGCAACCTACCGCAAACACCACAATTACAAAACCCCCTACTTCTCCACCACCGCCCACACGCGGTCGTCGTATTCCTACTACCCCTCCTCTACCTCCACGTCGTCGTACGAATGTAGCATTCCCATTTTGATGATGACCTTTTCTCCCCCTGCGGTGGTGGACAAGGACGAGGGGAAATTGTGTGGGAGGACAGTGAAAGGGTTCGGGCGATTTGGCGGGGAGAGGGTGGCTGAAAACAAATCTAAGATGTGGGTAAAACCCTAGAGCTTCAGCCTTCTCATTCACTTGTTCTGCCTCTTTATAGGCAATGAAATTACAGAAAATGACAACCAAGCTAGTACAGTTTGTCCATTAGCTTGGTGAGGAAACAAAGTTAAACTTGAACGAAAAGAAACACAGAGGAACAAGCTAATCAAAACGTCATCGCTTTGGACTCCAACATTAGCCACCTGAAACGTTGTCGGATTGGATTGTGTCTTCAAGCTTTGAACCCAGTTGACCGTTGCCTTTGATTTTTAGGGATTCATTTCCTGTTACCCCCCCCCCCCCCCCTGCAAGCCGGTGGGCAGAGATTATGCACACCGAGCTTGGAGAGCAACTGAAGGAAAGGGCCAGGGGATAGAGGCTTGATGAAGAGGTCAGCAAGTTGATGGGTCGACGAGACATGAAACAGCTTGAGAATCTTTGATTGAAGCTTGTCACGCACCAAGTGACAATCGAGTTTGATGTGCTTGGTGCGTTCATGGAAGGTAGGGTTGTCAGCTATATAAATCGCACTCTGATTGTCGCAATAAGGATGAGCTGGCTGTGGGTGTATGACTTGGAAGTCACGAAGAAGATAAAGGATCCATTGGAGCTCACAAGCGGAGAATGCAAGAGCTCTATACTCTGCTTCACAAGAAGACCTGGAGACTGTCTACTGCTTTTTGCTCTTCCATGAGATGAGTGAATCTCCCAGGTAAACACAATACCCTGTAATTGACCATCGTGTGTCTACACAGGCAGCCCAGTTTGAGTCAGAAAATGCCTTTAGTTGAAATTGGCATTGTAAAACATATATTAAGATACAAGTATAACTATAATCAGTTACCTTGTAAAACAAAGAATGATCTGCCTTGCTTTGAGAATAACCAACATGCTAAAGTTTATCAGTTAGCTTAGAAAACCATTGCCTTGAAGCTTGCTTAAGGCCATAAATTGATTTCTTGAGTCAACATACTGTATTTTTTAAACCAGGAGGTGGTTGATAACCATTAGTAAGAGTCATGTACACCTCCTCTTGTAAATCACCATGAAGGAAGGCATTCACATCAAGTTGGTGAATATGCCAATTCCTTAAAGCAGCAACAGCTAAAAATGCTCTGATAATTGTCATTTTAACAATTGGAGCAAAAGTATCCTGATAATCAACTCCTTCTTGCTGTGTATGACCCTTTGCAACAACCCTTGATTTAAACCGTTCAATATATCCATCCTGGTGAACCTTGATTCTGTATACCCACTTATTTCCAATAGTTTTCTTGCCTGGTGGAAGTTCAACAACATCCCAGGTCTGGTTTTGAAGGAGAGCTCTAATCTCATGTTGCATCGAGTCATTCCACTCATCTGACTTAGATGCCTCTGTGTATGTAGTTGGCTCAATACAGGATGTAAGATTCATGACAAATTTCTTGTAAAATGGTGAGAGATTGTCATAAGAGATCATGGAGGAGAGGCCATACCTTGAGTCTTGGACCTGTTGCTGAAGTGAGTGACTTGTACCACTAGATTGGGATGCAAGATAACAATGGTCATCTGTGGTTAAATGAGCAGGTGGTTTGGTGGGTCTATCTGATCTTCTAGGCTGGATGTTTTGAGGAACTGGAGGTGGTAAAGGGGTAGGTGAGGAAGAAGGGGCAGTGGAGGGAGTTGATTGAGGGGTAGAAGAAGAACTAGGAGAGGGGCTGTTGTAAGGATAAGGTGAAATAGGAACAGGCGAGGATGGTGAGATTGGAGGTTGAGGAATAGGAAGATGAAGAGAGGGATCATGATTAAGGGTAATGGCAGGATAAGGTATAGGGAAAATTAAATCAGAATCTGGGTTGGAATTCGGTTGAGGATTAGATGAATGAAAAGGAAAATGGGATTCATAAAAAATGACATCCCTTGAGACAAATACATCATGAGAATCAAGGTCATAGATCTTGTAACCCTTTATACCAGGTTTGTAACCCAAAAACACTCCCTTTCTTGCTCTTTGTTGGAATTTGGTTCTGTGATTAGCTAAAGTTGAGGCATAACATAAACAACCAAAGACCTTTAAATCACTGAGATCAGGGGAAATGTTGTGAAGCTTTTCATAAGGAGTTTTGTTGTAAAGAACAGAAGAAGGAACACGATTGATGAGAAATACTGCATGTTAGATGCAGTCACTCCAGAAACCAGGTGGCAGGTCAGCCTGGAATTTGAGGGCTCTAGCCACAGCAAGAATGTGCTCGTGTTTTCTCTCCATCCTACTGTTTTAATTTGTTGAGGAGTCTCAACACAGGACATTTCATGAATAATTCCCTGTGAATCATAGTACTCAGTCATGTCAAATTCTTTCCCTTGGTCACTGCAGATTCTTTTAATGTTTGTTTGCAAATGTATTTGCATTTGGTTGCAAAAGGCAATCAATTTTGGTCTAGCCTCTGATTTAAGTTGAAGTAGGATGACCCAAGTCATCCTTGGGAAATCATCAACGATAGTAAGAAAGTACTTGTAAGAATCATAGGAAGGAACTGGATTAGGCCCCTATATATCAACATGTAGGAGTTCAAAAGCATGTTGGGTTACATTCTGACTCAATGGAAAAGAAAGTCTCCTTTGCTTTGCAAAGTGACAAACATCACAGGGTAAGCCCTTTTGAGTTTCAATAGAGCTGAGATAAGGAATTTTAGAATGGGGCAGGTGTCCTAATATGAAATGTCATAAATAAAAAATGTTTGATCTTGCAACTGTGATAATCTTAGGATTACTAGGGGCTTCTAGGTAGTAAAGGACATTGGTCAATCTAGCAGAACCAGTCACTCTCTTCTGCTCCAGGTCCTGTATGACATAAAGGTTGGAGTGAAATGTCAAACTTAGTGAACTCTGATCAGTGAGTTTGCTGACTGAGACTAAATTGAAACTGAATCCAGAAACAAAGAGAGCATCCTTAAGTATTAACTCAGGAGTGCAATGAACTGTGCGTTTGTATGTAGCAGGAATTTGTTGACCAGTAGGCAAAGTTATAAACACCCCAGATAAAGGTATAGGATGCAGTAAGTAATCTAGGCAAGATACGATATGATCAGAAGCACCAGTGTCTAGAATCCATATGAAACTGTGGTTGGGATTGATGTGGTTTGGTGATGATAAGAAACATGTACCTGAAGGAGTGGTAGTAGTGGTGAAAGCAGCAGCAGTGTGAGTAGAATGCTGCCTAGATTTCCCAACCAGAGCCATTAGCTTGTCATAATCTGCCTTTGTAAGTTTAACAGAATCATCTGGAGTGGTGACTATAGAATGAGCATATCCTCTGCCTCTACCATAGGAGGAAGTAGTAGTCCTGGGAACATAGTTTGCAGGGAAACCATGTTTCTTAAAATATTTGTCCTCAGGATGTCCATGTTTACCACAGAATGTGCATTCAATAACAGTGGCTGATGCATTCAAATGAGAGGGTCTAGTAGACATTCCTGGTGGATAGCCATGTTTGACAAAGCAAACATCCTCTGTATGGCCTTCCCTCTTGCAAAAAACACAGTACGGCCTTTTTGGAGTTGAATTAGGTCTTCTGTTAACACCTTGGATGGCCAGAGCAGAGGTATCAGTGGTGAGGGAAGCAATTAGCTTGCCTCGTTGAGTACCATATAACTGCCTCTCATGCTGGAGCATTCGTTGAAAAACCTTATTAATGTTTGGTAATTCATCCCCAAACAAAACTTGGGATCTAACAGCAGAAAATTTCTCATTCAACCCTCGTAAAAACTTAATGACATAGCTGGTTTCTTGATATTCATGAACCAGCTTCATAGCTTGACAAGTATTGTGACTTGTAGTGGTACAAGCACAAGAAATCAAAGGCTGGTAATTGTCTAGCTCATCACGAAAAGTAATAATCTTTCCATAGTACTCAGTAATGGTCTGTGTACCTTGCTTTAAGCTACAAAGTTCTTCTTCAATTTCTGCAACTCTGACAATGTCACCAGAACAATATCTTGTTTGCAAACTCTTCCAAGCCTCTGCTGCAGATTTGCTGGAAAGGATGGTCTTTCGTATTTCTGATTCGACAACTTGTTGTATCCAGCTGAGGATCATGATGTTGTTTTTGACCCAGGCATTTCTCTTGGGATATGTTTCTGCAGGCTCAGGAATGGCGCTATTGAGGAAACCCAGCTTGTTCTTTGCAGCAAGGGCATTGACAATGGCGCGACTCCAGTCATTACAGTTTGTTAGTGTGAGTTTCTCACTGAACAAGAGGGAACTAGGTTTCTCAGAACCATGAAGGAAGTATGGATCTTCCATAGGGTATTGTGTATTTAAAGCTTCACCAGATGCAGTAGCATCATGGTGGGTTTCGTTTGTAGCCATGGCGCCGCCTAGGGCTCTAATACCATGAAAACAAATATGAGATGTAGGTAAAACCCTAGAGCTTCATCCTTCTCATTCACTTGTTTTGCCTCTTTATAGGCAATGAAATTACAGAAAATGACAACCAAGCTAGTACAGTTTGTCCATTAGCTTGGTGAGGAAACAAAGTTAAACTTGAACAAAAAGAAACACAGAGGAACAAGCTAATCAAAACGTCATCGCTTTGGACTCCAACATTAGCCACCTGAAACGTTGTCGGATTGGATTGTGTCTTCAAGCTTTGAACGTAGTTGACCGTTGCCTTTGATTTTTAGGGATTCATTTCCTGTTAGTGGCGGTGGAGAAGGACTCCGACGACCCTTACCTCGACTTCCGATAGTAAATGCTGCATTATGCAGATGATTATGGAAAAGAAAATTTAATCGCGGGATGACCTCATAGAGCTCCTCAAATGCTTCCTCCAGCTCAATTCGCCTACCACCATGACATCATCGTCTGCGCCTTCTTCGAGGTCTAGAACAGGGTTTTCTCCTCCACCATCGCGAAGTCCCCCGCCGGAGCCGGCGGAAGAGGGAGTGGTTTAATGTCTAAGCCATTGTCAACGCCGCTGCATCAGGATGGTTGAGGTTTGGACTGCTGCCACCACCTCATTGGGAAGGGAATAAAGGAGATTGATGGTATAATCGACAAGGATGAAGATGAGAATATAGGGCGAGGAACGACGACAAAAATTGGGAGAAAAGGTCGGTCTGGAGGTTGAGTGGGGTTGTTAGGTCGGTCTCAATGGTAGAGTAACCGATCGGGTTCGCTAGGAAGAAGAAAGGAATCAGTCTGAAAATTGCCCCTTAACCGATCTATTTTGCACTTTTTGGATTTAAGTGGGTTCGGGGTTGGTTTATTGGTCGTGTTGGGTTGGGAATATGACTTGGCGTATTTAATGACGTGACGGGTTGGGTTTCACCTTTTTGGCCCAAAATGGCGCTGACTAGGTCATTCCGTTTGCCACATCAGCACATAACGGACTTTGTTAACGGAGTTGGACGAAGACTAACGGAGAGTGACTAAACGTGGACTATTTTAGTAACTTGAGTCACCAAACGTTTGGCGGAGACTAACAAAGAGTGATCAAACTGGATTCTTATAACATGGACAATCTCACATTTATTACATGGAACTCCCCCAAACACCCTCAAACGACGCTCCTTCCAAATCAAGATGATGGCCAACACTAAATAACCCCAAAAGCATGGCATATAGCATCAGGTTTGCCAGCTTGCCTACAAATTTCCATAAGGTAATTAGGCGAACCTCGCGGCCACACACACCTAGCAGCACCAACCAGTCCTTCAAATACAACAAGAGAGTATGAGCAGCAACAAAACAAGTGGTCACGGATTTTGACCTCTGTTCCACAAAGAAGGCAGGAGTTTGAATCACTAATCCCCCATTCAAGTAACTTATCTCGGGTTTTAATTCTGTTCAAAATAATTAACCAGGCTACGAACCAATACTTAGGGATATAATAATTCCCCCACAAAAGTGAATACCAACAAACAATAGACCGTGACTCTCAGAAAGATTTCCAAACTGTTTTAACTGAGAACTTGTCCATCAGCTTTCCTTCCCATAGAACTTGCCATGCACCCTGAATTGCAAACTGAATTGAAACCAGGATTGCACCTTCAGCATCCCTCTCCAAACCCAAGAACCAGTAGAGTTGCCTTAAAGAATCCACAAAGAAGTCCAGGCTACCCAAAAGCTCCCCCTTGCATAAGAAGGAGCCAAATAAGATGCGCAATGCATGCAATATTCCATATTCCTAGCAATATTCTTAGGTCGGCTTTCAGATAACTTTATAAAACTTCATTAATCTTGATACAGCTCAATGCATCAACAACCCAGTTCTATTATCTAAATTGTTGAAAAAGCCATGATCTCCCCTGGCCACGGAGACCCGTTGCGCTCATCTAAATGGTCTGAGTATCAAGCTCTGATCGTCATGATGCTGTTGATCTTGATTTCCATGTTGACCTGATCTGGGGGGAATCAACCGAGTCTTCATCTCGTAGAGCCAGCTCTCAGCTATTCTTCTATCAACTACGCGGGCTGCGGACAGCCAATGTGTTATCGCGCGTCCAATCCTGTAGGCTACAACTCGTGTCTTCGATTCACTGTCCTTAAATGTCCTTGAATTTCTTTCGAACCAGATGTTCCAGCAAAACGCATGTAGGAAGGCATATGAGCACCATTGGGTCGGGCTATTTGGTTTGCGGTGCGCCCATCTTCTTATTCTGTCTTTCATGTCATCATCTCTTTCTGCCCCTCTTGCGATCGGTATGAATGTCCGGAGGATGCGCCAAACTTCAGATGAGAAGCTGCAGAATATGAACAGATGATTGATCGCTTCTTCTCCTTCTTTGCACAGCATACATCTGTTTGCAAGCTGAAGTACTTTTCTCTTTAAATTGTCGATTGTAAGGATTCTTCCATGATATATTAACCACACAAACACACAGATTTTGCTCGGAATTACATGTCTCCACACCGATTTGCAGGGGAAGCCATCTTCTCCCGGAAGAGTAGTTTCGCCCAACTTCTCATAGGCTGAGTGTACCGAGAACCCTGATGAGGGGTTGGGGTTCCAGATAACTCTTCTTGGACCTGCAGAAAAATCAGAAGCAGATAGATTTTCCAATAAGCGAAAAAGGCGCTCTCTCTCTCTCTGCCCCACCCCTAAGAGTAAGTTTCAATGGAATTTCCCACAAAATATTTTCATCTACAAAGGATATATGGTCAGCAACACGAGCACTCTGGGATTCGGCGGCAGCAAGCACCCTTGGGAATTCCTTGGCGAGGCATTTTCCCTGTATCCAGTAATCAAACCAGAAAGATGTCCAGTTTTCGCTTCCTTGTTCTACTCGGGCCATCCTCCAAAATTCATCTCTTAGCTTGAGAATTTGTAGCCAAGGGCTACAACCCAATCCTCCAGCACCTTCTCCGCAGTTCCATTCAGAATTCGGGTTTGAGTATTTAAGGGACAGTAGTTCCCTCCACCAGCTCTTCCTTTCAATTGCAAACCGCCACAACCATTTGTATAATAATGCCTTGTTGTGAAGATGAATATCCCGAAGCCCAAGTCCGCCTCGATTCTTAGGAGTTTTGCATAACTCCCACGAAATCAGATGGAACTTATTTTTGTCTTGAGTTCCAGACCAAAGAAAATCTCTTTGGATCCTCTCCATCATCTTAACTGTGTTCATAGGGATAAAGAATACAGAACTCATATAACTGCTTTGGCTAGCGAGAACTGCATTAATCAGGATAACTCTTCCTCCCATCGAAAGGTATTTTCCTTTCCAGCCGTCGAGTTTGATCTGCATTCTGTTGACAACCCGATTCCAGTTAGCATGCGTCGTCGGATGAGCCCCAAGCGGCATTCCCAGGTAGAGGGTTGGAAGGAACCCCCAGTCACATCCAAGAATCTCGGCTAGCCTGTCTATGTTTTGGACTTCGCCAATTGGAAAGATTCGAGTCTTCTCCAAGCTTATTCTGAGACCTGTGACAGTCTGAAAACATACCAGGGCAGCAAGTACATTCGTTACTTCATCCTCCGAGGCTTCACAGAATATCACAGCATCATCAGCATATAGAAGGTGCGTTACTTCTCCTCGTCGTCCCTCCTCATCAAAGCAGAATCCATTCAGTAGGCCTGCCTCGTTGATTTTCTTTAGTAAGAAGGACAGCAGGTCCATTCCCACACTAAACAGAAAAGGAGAGAGTGGGTCACCTTGTTTGACACCCCTTTCCATGCCGAAGAAGCCCGCTGCTTCGCCATTAACTAAAACCGACATTTTGGAAGATGACATAATACCAGCCAGCCATTTTAGAAATCTATGGTGTAATCCAAAGCAAGTGAGCGCCTTCAGGATGCATTTCCAGTTTATCGTGTCAAAAGCCTTCTCAATGTCGAGTTTTATGACTAGGCCAGTCTTCCCGCTTCTCCTCCTACTATCGATGACTTCATTAGCAATAAGGCAGGTTTCATGTATTATTTTGCCTTTCTTCCCGCCGAACTGATGTTTTGAGATGATGTTGTTGATGAAGGGTTGGATTCGGTTGAAGAATATCTTAGAGATGAGCTTGTTGAGGCTGCCCACTAGACTAATAGGCCTGAAATCTGATGTTTCTTCCACTGCATCTTTCTTGGGAATTAGGCATATGAATGAGTGTGCGATTGAGTGTGGTAGGCTTCCTGAGAGGAAAAAATCATTCATGGCTTTGATCAAATCTACCTTGAGTATGTTCCAAGCTTTTTTGTAGAAAGCAAGAGTATATCCATCGGGTCCCGAAGCCTTGTCACCGTTGCATTGCTTAACTGCTTGTAATATTTCAGCTTCGGTAAAAGGTTTGATTAGATTTTCATTTTCTTCTGCTGATAATAATGGGCGCGTATACTCGGCAGGAAAAGGCCTGTCCAATATCTCCTCAGAAAACTTCTTTTGAAAAGCTTCCATGAAAGCAGCCTTGATCTCGCTACTGTCTTCTGTGATTCTTCCGTCAACCCTTAATCTTTTGATTAAGTTCTTCCGACGATTAACCTTCGCTGCTCTGTGAAAGAAGGGTGTATTTTTATCCCCTGATTTGAGCCACAGCTCCCTGGATTTCTGTCTCCACATAATTTCCTCCATAATTAACAGTTTTTCAAGTTCACCCTTTGCTAATGATCTTTCTGTTGTCAAAGTAATCCCTATCTCACCTGCTTCTTCTTCATCATCAATGCTTTTGATTCTAGCCAGTAGCCCGGTGATCTTCCTGTCCACTCTACCGAAAATCTCATGGTTCCACTCTTTGATTAGAAGCTTGGTTTGTCTGCACTTCTGGCCAAACCTGAACAGGTGGCTGGTTCCATTTACAGGAACATTCCACCATCCTACCAGACTGGTGAGGAAGGTTTCCTCTTCAAGCCATGCATTTTCGAATCTCCAAGGGTGTCGAATATCCTCCTTCCTTCCCCATCGTAGAAGTATTGGATTATGATCTGATTCTATTCTGTCCAAGGCGATAAGAGCTTCAGGGGAGAAATCATCCTCGAAACTAGCGTTGATTAGGGCCCTGTCAATGCGAGATAATGTATTCTCAGTGCCCCCTCTGCTCCATGTAAATTTCGCTCCTTGCAGTGGCAATTCAGCTAGACTGAATCTTCCAATAAAACTGTTGAATTCCTCTATGAGTTCGGTACTTCGAGGTCTACCAATATAATCCTCTTGCGACCTGACTAGGTTGAAGTCTCCTATTATACACATAGCCTCTGTATAGTTGCTGCAAACGAGCTCCAATTCCTTCAAAAAGTCCAGTTTGTCTTCCTTTTCCTGAGGGCCATATACAAACAATATGGATATGATTTCACCACTGTCTGTTGCCTTGAGTTTCACAGCCAGCGAATATTTCCCTTCCCAAAATGATAAGGCTTCATACATCCTGCAGTCCCAGAAAATTGCAATACCTCCACTAGCTCCTACTGAATCCTTGGCTGCCCAATCCACTGATCTCGATCCACTGATTGAGTATATAAGATGTTGTTCACATTTCTTCCATTTGGTTTCTATGAGGCCAACAATTGAGGGCTTCCACCTCTTGAGGATTGCCTTTATCTTTGCTCTTTACAAGAATTCTTACATTTCACTCTAAAATGCATCTTGTCAATTAAGGTTAAGCATGCAATATCTTAATAAAAAAGTGGAAAAGTTAACTTAAAAGTGATTCCGGAGCCTCTCTCTGTCCCTTTTGAACGATGGTGAGGAAACCTCAATGAAGATCATTTCAGCCCTAATGGGGCTAATGTAACACTGTAAACAAATGTCACATCTGTAAAGCACGAGAGAGATCTATGATTCTTAGTTTTTACAGAATAATTCATCCTTAATTGATAAGATGCATCTTAGGATGAAATGGAAGAGTTTTGTAAGACAAAAGAAAAAGTTTTGCAAGAATTTTGAAAGTAATTAGTCTAGAGTGAAGCACTGCGAAGATATATGACCTCTTGGAAGTAACCAAAATGAAAATTTTTCTATCATCATAAATAAAAGAAAAGTTGGTATGTTAAAATAACACGTTATGTGAATCATAAAATTGAGGTTTACCAACTGTGACAAACCCCACCGTGCATAATGAGATGAAAGGAGTGAACAAAATTGAGAGCACTTCTACTATGCTATAAAGCATAGGTGCTTTAATGTACAACTTAAAGTTGTACCATAACGTAAAATGTATATGTTTGGGTTGTACCATAAAGGAATTTGTACTCTTATGTTATGGTACAACTTCACAACTTTAAGTTGTATCATCACATAAATGTACAAGTTCAAGTTGTTCCACAAAAGAATTTGTAAAATAGTGTAGGTACAAGCTGAAGTTATACCATAACATTAAAAGTACAACTTGAAGTTGTACCATAAAAACAAAAACCTATAGCACCAATGCTATGTAAAATTTCTCCAAAATTGAAGCTTACATCTCGTATTTGATTCATAATAATGCAACCACCTTTGGCCAAAAAATAATAATAATGCCACCTACTCCACTCCTCTCCACTCCGCTCCACACCACACCACGCAACAGTTTCAATGATTTTTAGTACCCACACGCATTTCATAATTAATAATTTCCAGCCATCCAAATTACTTTTCAACTCATTTTTCAGGCTCTTAAATAACATATAAAGGTCATATACATTTACAATGAGATCATCAGCCTACTTGACAATCTCTCTGGCCAAAGTCTTGTTCTGGTAGACGATATATATATATAATTATTATTACCAACGATTTGTTCTGACTTTTTTTTTTCGGGTTTATGGAAGTTTGCTATGCCATTAAATTGTCTTATGTTTAAGATTTCGCTAGATAATTGCCTAGGATGACAATTTGAATTTCTTTCTGTTGGGGTATTATCCGATTTAATTAGCGATAGAGTGGGTATTACCTTAATTACAGTAGCATGGGAGAGGCATGTGTATGTACTTTCGACTCGTCATTCCCGTCACATCCCATTATTGGCCCATTCAATTACCATTTTTTGTTGGGACTTTTGGGACGAGGGTACACGCACGCTAGCCCGAGATTGGGTGTCCAGAATTGTGATAGAGTCGTGAACTACATTCACTGTCCGAAAATATATTTTCACCCTCTACAAAGCCTTGGGTTACAGGAAATTTCTCCCGAGGATAAAACTATCACTACTTTAGGTTCTAGACTCAAGAACCCTAAAGCATACTTAGAAATTTTGGGAAGAACGAAGAAGAATCTGTTTGATGGTATGTGGCATCATCCACCTCACTCACAAATTTATAGGGGTCGAATCCATGCATTTTTTCATGAAAAGTTGCAATATTTATTCATATTTCTCCTATTTTGTATTTTTTCACCTAGTTAGACTTAATATTTCAACTATTTAGACACGATTACTCATTATATAATCACTATTTTTTTTTGTATATAAAGTGTTTCCCCTTCGTTTTATCGTACAAAGTCAAATTTTGTGTGTATATTTTCAAATAACATATAAGAGTGGGTAGACTCACCCCGTCCCAACCCGAGTGTGTATGGGGTATTGAGATACCCAACCCGCCCCACCCGTTTGCCATCATTACCCACATGTCAATATATTAATATTAGATCAACAATATTTGGTATACGTTAGCCCGTAACTAGGGTTGCTAGTTCGGTTTAAACCAAACCCAAATCGATAAGAGGGTTTATCGGGTTTTGGTTTCGGTCCCAAATTGTTTTGTACTTATCGGTTTTGGTTTGGAAAAAATTGAAAAATCGACAAAAAAAAAATTATAACTCACATACAAAACCCTATGATGATGTGGAGCCTCGTTGGGGATGGTGATTCAAATTCGAACCGATGTGGGCAAAGCATGGACAATGTGAAGCAGTAATAGCAGCAGCCTGGAGCGAAGGGGGAGGAGCAGATGTGATGGTGAAACTGAATAATTGCAAGGAGAAGTTGGGGCTATGGAGCCTAAGCACATTCCCGAATTTTTCCAAGCAGAAGGAACGGATAAACAAAGCTATGCGAGCCCTTGAGAGAGCGCCAAAGTCTGATACTAATCTGCTTGAGAGTACAAAAATGGCGGAGGAGCTAGAGGAGCTTGAAGAAAGAGAAGAGGATTATTGGAAACAGAGATCTCGGGCTGATTGGTTGAGCGTTGGAGATAAGAACACGCAATTCTTCCATAAAAAAAGCCTAGGCAAGAAGGAAGAGGAACACCATTCAGCCAACTGTAACTATACTGATTCTGAAGAATCTTTTTGAATTTCTATAAGTGAAGGCTAAACTTTGTCAATCTATTCATCCCACCATTTTTTTTAAACTTATTCATCCCACCATTTAACCTTCTTCATTTTCTCAACTTCATATTTCTCTTGACACACCTAATTTTTTTGTTTTTTTTGCATCGTGAGTTCTCCTAGTAGAAAAGCTTATGAGAGACAGCAGGAAGTTGATGATAGGCTATGGGAGTATGAGTGTCAGTTTGACCGTGATCGTCAACAGATGATGGCGATGACAACAACTTCATGTTCCAAGAGCAAGTATCCTCATCTCGACAACATTCAGATAAAGTTGTGAGGCGTAATAGGGTAGAAAGCACATCAACGCTTGATGCAACAATATTTTATTCCCAATCCGATCTATGATGCTAGGTTCTTCAGAAGAATATTTTGGATGTCCCTCTCCTTGTTCAACCGAGTCATGACTAGCGTTGTTCAGCACGACCCCTACTCCCACAAAGGCAAAGATGTTGCGGGTCGTCTGTCATTCTCCTTCAACCCCTACTACCCTCCTGGGGCTTTAAAATGGAAACTTGGCCAACTCCCTAGACCAGGTCTTTGATATAGGTCAGACCACTATACTGCAGTGCACGTTAATTTTTTTGTAATGCCATCATGTACAACTATGGCCTCGATTACTTATGGGCAATTTAGTCATAATCGTGCTTTAAAGCTTAAAAACTTAAGATTTTACACTTTTAGGTCACCAAAATGATTCTACGCATAATTTTCATTTTTATTACTAATGTAGTCAAAAACTTACGCTTCTATATAGAAACACGCTTTTGACTACATTGCTTATGAGCACCAAATGTGGAGGTTTTTTGCCGCCTTCTTCATCACAACGGTAGTGTGAATTCCCGGATATGATCGGTTCAATCGACTGCATGCACTAGGGAGTCAAAAAATGGTACAATAACGTGGCAAGGACAATTTACTTGATACAACAAACCTTTGTCCTGGAAGTTATAGCATTGTACGACACATGGATTTGGCATGCCTTCTTTGAAAGTCCCGGATCAAACAATGACATAAGCACGCTTGGACTCTCTCCATTGTATGATGAAATAGTCAGCCGGAATATTTCAAAAGTCAAATATATGGTAAATGCTACAATTTATTATCAATGTTACTACTTAGCTTACGGAATTTATCCTGAATGGTCTACATTTGTGAAAACCATTAGCAACCGTAGTAACCAGAAGAAGAAACTCTTTGCAAAATGACAAGTGGCATACGCAAGGATGTTGAGAGACCCTTTGTCATTCTACAAGAAAGATGGGCCATTGATAGAGCAACGGCTCGATATTGGGATGTACATATATTGGGAGAAATGATGCTAACTTGCGTTATTCTACACAATATGATAGTTGAAGACCAAAGAAATGAGTTTTGAGATGAACAAGTGGAGAGGATTGAATATCATACTAGTCTGGATGTCACATTGGATCCACAGGATCATGACACTCCGAATCTCGTTGAGTACATGATAAGGTATAATAGGATATGTAGCCGTGAAGGGCATCATGTGTTGAAAGCGGATTTGGTTGAGCATTTGTGGAGAAGAGAAGGAGGATGGGAGTAAAAATGTGGTGTGGCTCTCAATTTAATTTGGACACTTTAATTACTTCAATTTGTATTGTGTGTTGAGCTTACTTTATGTCTTTTGTTGTGCTTTGTTATCAATGTATTTTCCATTTTTTGATGTCTTAATAAAGAAGGTTGTTGCATTTATAATTGAGCAGAAACATAATTAAAAAGGATACATCAAGGGTAAATTGGAAGTACTTAAAGCAAACATACTGAAAATAAAGGATACATCAAGGGTAAATTAAAATTACATAAAGAAAACACACTAAAAATAAAGGATACATCAAAGGGTAAATCCAAAGTACTTAAAGCAAACACACTAAAAATAAAGCATAAATCAACAATAAATCAAACAACTTATTAAAGATTACTGGTCGGGGGTGTAAGTGTCATCAAATGGGCTATTGATAGATCCTCTAGGTGGTGTAGAACTTTGTTCGTTGGTATGCAAACATAATATGATCTCTTTGAATTTGGTACCATCCTCTTTGTTAAGATCCAATTAAGAAAGTTCATGAAGAATGATTTCTCAGTCATATTTATTTTTTCCCTTGCTTTCTTCGTCATCTCCCGCTCTTCTCTAGTGACAGCCAATCTTGCATGTGTTGCTGAATTTGCCGCCATGTCCGCTAAGATCTTTTGAAAAGCTTTCATGCAAGAAGAATCACCACTTCCTCTTTTCTTCCTCTTTTTTTGATTTCGATCCCTCGGGATGGTTGGGCACTCTTGGAATAGTTTCAAACATTCTTCTAACTTCCAGTCTTTCTTCGTGTTCGCCTTGAAAATAGTCTTCGCGTGATTCGTCAAAACAATTAATTATGATAAATAAAAATGGTTAAAAATTAGAACACTAAATTTATGCCATTAATTAAATAAAGATATATTAGAAGTTGAATAACCACGTCTAGTTGGTTAGTTTCGCTCGGTGGATTACAATTGCATAGTAGATAAATTTCCATCGAGTCTTCAAGGTGCCATCGATACGAATGATCATAAAGTCATTTGTATAGATATCCAATTATTTTCCAAAAGCTAGCGAAGATTGATAATGACCGATGATAGGATCTTGTGAAACTTCCATCCAAGCGTTGCAAAACAAGGTCTTCAGGCATTATGCAATACATATGCAGTTGTTGTGGGAAGAAGTCAAGATTACTATTACATAGAGTTTGGGAAGAAGAGACTTATTTTTTGTGAATCGCTATTTGCCGCCCTAATATTTACTATTTGCCGCCCATAGTTTCATAACATAAGACGATTTTGCCCTTCTTCTAACTAAACCCTAAACCTATCTTGCCTACCCTCTCACGACCCGACCCCTCCTCCCACAATCGCCATTCGCCGCCGACCAACCTCCTCCATCATCCCACAACCGGCGCCGACCAACCTCCTCCTCCCGCAACCGGCGACCTGGTCCCGCCGCCTCCTCCCTCACTCCCCCCTCCCCCACTCACAAATAGCCGACGCGGAAGAGAAAGGATCTCGTCGCGGGTGGTGTCGTCGCCGCCGTCGAAGAAGGAGCTCGCCGTGCGGACGGGGAGGACGGTCCGACGACGGCTTGCGGACGGGGTCCGACTACGCCTTGCGGACGGGGTCCGCCGCCACCGGATGGGGTCCGCCAAACGGCGTCGGACGGCGACTGAAATCCCTTGTCAGACGGGATCCGAATTCCGGCGTCGGACGGTTTTATTTCTTTCCGAAAATAATTTTTGAATTGTTAATTATTTATTGAGTAATTAAATAGTTAGATTGTTTCAAATATTTATAAAATCTTATAATTAGGCAACGGAAAAAGGGAGAGTTTTAAGGAAAGATTGATTCTTTCGTAGATATAGTTTTGGTTTTTTTTTTTAGCGGTGGAATATATAAATAGAGGAGTTTTATGGTAAATTTTGAAGGGAGATTTTTAAGGCATATTGATTTTTCCGTTGATATAGTTTTGGTAGAATTTTTTCATTTTGGTTGACATCCGAAAAAAATTCATTAATTATTTATTGATTTGTATTTTTTACCCGTAAAAGGCTTCACTGACTATTTTTTTGGGTTTGATTGATGCGAAGAGTCATTTGGGGCAGAAATAAAGGAGTTTGTTGTGTTAAATAATTATAAAACAATAATAATCATTTAATAATACCAATAAACCTAATGACATAGGTCTAATTGTATATAAATATTAAATTAAATAATTATAGAATACCAAACTTTCCCTAATGAACTAATGATTGTAATTCTCTAATAAGGGCCGAACAGACTTCCTCCCAGATAAGACAATGACCGACATCTAATTCTATTTCCCTAATTAACAATCTGAAAATTTCCTTAATTAAAACACATTAAAATTCTAATAAATTCGTTTACACAAAATAAAGGAAATCAACGTCTAATTCCCAAGTCTAATTCCATTTCCTTTATTGGTTAGATGAGCTAAAGGAAAGCAATTAATTAATAAGGAAGACATAGTTCAATATCGTGGAATGATTATAGTAATTTAAGTAGTTTAATACGTATTGAAGTTTTCCATAAAAAAATTAATTGTTAATTATTATAGTAGTATTACATTATTCAAAATTATTTATTATATAGCCTAATACGTGTTAACTTTTTTTTAACAAAGTATAATAGTAATTTAAAATCGTAAACCCAAAACCCCCCTTCTACACCTTCTACAACCCCCAAACCCTAAACCCTAATTCCCATAAGATAGTTAATTTCAACCTCAATCTATTCAATCATACTACGACATTGTCTTAGAGCTAAAATCGTCTCTTCCTCCACTAATAACAATCGTTCGCATCATCGAAATATGCATGATAGGCCCAAGAAATTGCTTATTACCATCCCCAGAGCCCCCAAAAATCTCGATGAAAGTTTTGACACTATTCATACATTTTTGCCCCAGACGTCTAATCGAGAAACGGTCAATTCCATCATGTTCATATCCACATTTTAGTGATAAATAATAATTTTGTACAATATGAATTATTTTTGATAAATAATAGTTACTTAAAAACCATATAACTAATTTAATAAGTATTTTATAGTCATCCTAACTAATTTAATAATTTTGAATAATTATCTCGTTAATCACTACCAATATAATTTAACATAATTATGTGATAAAAAAATTAACATAATTATAGTTTTTTTGCGATAAACATAATTTTCGTTAATCACTGCCAACATCTTTCCTAAATAACATAATTTCCACTCCCAGTTTCCCTAATTAACAACCGAGAATTCCTTTAGCTAATTAAATCCTTAATTTTTAATTATATTTTTTGGTACGGCCATTAATGATTCCTCTCGTTACGTGTTTACCACTGCTTTTACTTTTTTGCAATTAAATATTATGAATTAATTTAAGAATCAAACGCGAGAAAGTGGAAAGATTAACTTATTGAGGTTTATAGGGAAATGATTTTTGAATAACGTTAATTGAGGAAGGGAAACTAATTATGTTTGTAACCGTTTAGTTGTTAAATAATGAATATACCTCACTTCTCTCGCACCATATTGGAATTATGGTATGAAATAAATTGAAAAGTAATAATAAAAAATAAATTTAATTCCTTATAAACCTAAATCCTTCCCCTTTCCCACGTTTGACTATAGACTTTCTTCCCACGAGTTATGGTGACAACCCCTTAACGGGTTGTGGGTTTGACAACCCACTTTATACTTTATAGCCATTAGATGTATTATCTCTCTTGTCTCTCTCCTGTTATTTTTAAATTGAAGGTTGAGATGAAAAGAAGGGTGTTTTTGGGATGAAAAAAACTTACCACACCCAATCATTTTTCCTCCCATATAAAATAATAAAACCCTAATCTAACTCATGCCAACTTTACAGCCGTTCACCACCTCCTTCTTCCCTTCCTCCCTTTCTTCCGCGGACGTTGCCGTCGCCGCATCTCCCTCTTCCTCTCCCATGCCCACCGCCACCCCTAACCTCCGCCGCGCCGGCTGTCTTCACCGCCCTGCCGCGCCTGCTGTCCCCGCCATCATGATCGAGATCTACGCCGCCGCATGGCTCCGCGACGTCCAGATCGGCTCCGTCCGCGTTCTCATCAGCAACGTCCAGATCGACGTCCAGATCGTCGCGCTCCAGATCCGCCGCCCCTCCGGTCGACCGCAAGGGACCCTCTACACCGAGCTCTCTGCCTCCGGCGTCGGCTTCAACGACCTCCTCGACGCCAAGGCCACCGCCGGGGGTGCGAAGAATCTCAAGGAGAAGACCGCCAATGCTAGTGGTACCAATTCCTATTGGTACGGTACCACTACTCACTGGTACGTACCAGTGGCTCCCCTATCACTACTCACTGGTACCACTATCATCTGATACCACTATCATCTGTTTGTTGTGTTATTCTCTACTGGTACCGCTTCCAGTGCTAGTGGTACGATACAATATGGTAGTGGTAGCGCTGTACTGGTAGCGTACCACTAGTACTGGTACATTTTTTAACGCAATGGTATATTAATTACCAGTAGACTAATGGATTGGTACACTTTTTAACGCACTGGTACATTATTTCAGATTGCCGGAGGGAGTCTGCCGGAGAAAAAGTTTGTCCGTCGATGCAGAGTGGCCGCTGGAGAAAGGAAGAGAGAGAGAGATAGATAGAGATATTAATGTATAGGATTTAAATTTAAAAAAAAATTGTATTCAATATGGGTTTTTAATTCCCAATATAATTAATACAAAAAGGTAATTAATATATTCTTTTTTTTCATACCCAAAATACCCTTGGTTGTAAATCTGACAACCCCCTTAGGGGTTGTCACCGTATCCCGTCCCCCTCCCTCTCTCATCTTCATCAAAACAATTTGTATAATTAATTATTTATAAAATAAAAACAGGTCATCAGCGGCAACTGGTCCGACGCCGGCAGGCGGACCCCGTCCGACGCCGGCGAGCGGACCCCCAAATTTCATCCGATGCCGGCGAGCGTAGCCGCTGATCTGGTCTGACAACCGGGAAAGGGATGTGTGTTTTAGGTTTGTGGTCGACGGGATTTCGGTTGAGGTCGTGGGGGATTGGAGGAGGGGGTTTTGTGATCGACGGTGGGGGGAGACTTGGGTTGAGGACGGTGGGGATTGGTGGAGGGGTTGTGATCGGCGGTGAGAGGAGGTTTGTCTTCACCGGCGGGGAAAGTAGTCAGAAGTTGTTTGGTGGGAGGTTTTTCTAAAGTAACGGCAAAAGCGTCTTTTACTCCAAAACTGTGGGCGGCAATTAGTAATTACTCGGGCGGCAAATAACAACCCTCTATTTTTTTTGGAAGGTAGGAAGCGAGTTTGAGAAGTGTTGGAAGAAAGTGAAAAATGAGTTCTATTTATAGAGCTGGAAAAATATGGTCCTTGGAAAATATAGTCGTTGGAAAAATAGTCGTTAGAAATATGATCGTTGGGAAAATAACCGTTGAAAAATATGACGGTTGAAAAATATGATCGCTAGCCCATAACACACCAAAAATCTCCAATTAAAACACTAAACCGACCAGGAAAAAAAATACGCAAGACCACGGCAAGACGGTGGGCCGTACGAATGTCAATAGCCCTCCCTCACGGACCCTCCTCCCCTCCTATTTTTGGCGTTTTCAGGAGGATATATCTTCCCCTCTTTTCTTCTTTTTCTTTTTTCCATCCCTTATTGTAGGATTTCCTATCTCTTTCCCCCTATTTTTCCGCCTTCTTGTGGGTAGTCTAATGTTCGGCGAGGTCTGGCGTCAACAACAATTTGAAATATTTCCCATGATAACATAATTTTATTTTTTAAAATTGGGCATGATAAACAATGACTTAGGTTAGGGTACCAAACTCAATCCAAAGGTACTAATTTGTGAAGATAAGATCTAATGGTCCACATCATAAAGGTTTAAAGATGGAAAGTATGAGAGAAGGAGAAGGCTGCCCATATTTGCTACCAGCTGTTCGGATTTGCTTCCTAGATGCCCGGATTTAGAGGGGATACACGCAAATTTCTAGGCATTTATTATAGCCTTTTTCAAATCCCCAACGAAAATATCAGATTTTGTGATTTACAAGATGATATACATTTTGATATTTTTTTAAACAAAAATTTTCAGACCATTATACCACTGTCATATCACGGTATTATCACTGATAGTGGTATGATATCACAATAGTATGATATAGATATAATTTTGATATAAAATTGGTATGACGATTGAGTGCATAACTTTTGACTAAATTGTTAAGTGGTTCATTGCATCATTGGGTGATTACAAGAGAATGGTTTCAATTTAAGTGTATCATATGGTATAGCCGTATAGAGGATTCCATTCCCAAGTACCTTCTCTTTCTTGAGTTTAACCTTACTTGTTATTTTGTTTCCTTTGATTGTTTAGTCTTAATTGAACCTTAAATCGATCTATAGCAAAGCACGGGGGCATTACTATACTACTTCACCAACCTAAGTTATACTTGTCCAATTGTTGGAGTAGCTAGTAGAATGTGAGACAAATTTCTAGAGTCATTATTGGGGAACTTTGGATTATAGTGAAAAGAAGTGAAGTTACTAGTTTTGTCATTTGCTTCTTGCTTATTTTATTTTACTTTGCTTTTTTTTTTCATCCTACCTTTGATGTTTACGGATGCGTGTTTATTGAATTTTTATGTAGACATGACTGAAAAACATGGGAGGTGATGGAGGTCAAAGACCACCTCAAAGAAGTTCCAGGTAATATTACACTCGGCCGAATTTCAACGAAATTCAATAACCAATTAAACATCTAGTGATCTTTAACCAAAATTGCGAGTCTAAGGTGAGTGTGATATCCATGATTCAAGCCTCTATCCAGTTCCGTGGTCTAAAAGACGAAGATCCACATGTACATATCCAAGCCTTCCTTACCAAAAAGATCAAGATTGCGGGTGTACCTCAAGAAGCTATTCGATTGATATTATTTCCCTTTTCTTTAGTGGAATATCCCAGATATAGTTGTCAAACCAACAATTCATCTCCATCATGTCTTGGAAGTATCTTTGTTAGAAGTTCTTAAAAGCAATATTTCTCATCTTCGAAGACGATCCAAATAAATATTGATATTTTCAACTTCGCTCAAGAAGATAAGGAGTCATTATTCAATCTTGGGAACTCTATGATTCTATCCTCATCATGGGTTCCAAGATTGGCTCCAAATAAATATCTTCTATAACATACTACGAGAAGAGTGTAGGGAGAGCATTGATGCAATCAGAGGGCTCCATGGAACAGAACACCAAAGAAAGTATTTATACTACTTGAAGACATGGCTTTGAATGTGCATCATTGTGAGGTAACTCTAGGGTCTAAGGGGATGAACCAAGAATGTAGATGTCTCGTGGGTCTTATAATATCCAAAGTCAAATATTTTTGACTCTCTAGAGAAGAAAATCAATGTCATGGCATTATCTTCAATTACTCCTAATGTGAAAGAGGAACTAGCTTAAGAGTCACAAACTTTATGAATGCTTTCTTGGTAGCTCTAGTAACTCTGGAGGAGATCAAACATGCTATTTTTTGGATTGGCAGCTTTCAGGCACCGAGTTCCGGGGATTTTTCCAATAATAGCATCTTTTAAAAAAATTATAAAAATAGCACCCAGCCCATAAAAATTATAAAAATAGCATCATTTTAAATAAACCGCACCTTGGAGATGCGGTTTATGCCACATCAGCCAGGGAACCGCACTAGGCAGGTGCGTTTTGTGTTTCCTCGCCTGTGGCCTTGGAGAGCGTTGGATGCGGCGGCGATACAACGACGGACCGCACGCCACCTCAGCGATCCGCGCCATGGATCGTAGACCGCAGCTTGCAGGTGTGGTAAGCGCCTCAAGAAACGCAGAACATATCGGGAGGGTGCGGTTTCAGGGAGGGAAAAATTACCAGACCGCCCCTGGAGGGTGCGGTCAGAATAGTATAAATACCCCCCCTCCCTCTCTCATTTCTTCACACCACAACCCATTCTTCACTCTCTCTCTAAAATTATCTCTCTATCCCCTCCCCTCCCAAAAGCCTAGGAAATAGTGGTATGTTGGTTGCGGCTAAGTCCAATCGGCCATAAGAAAACATATCTTTAGTTTTTCCCTCAAAACCCGCCGAATTTCTGTCCGACTTTCGCGAAAAAATGGACGAGTGGTTCCATGGAGAGGGAGTTTATTATGATGAATTTCAAGCGGCATGTACTCATTATTCTAGTCAATTTTTGTTTTTGTTATAAGCTTTTTAATTAATCTATGTACTAACCTTGTTATTATTCTCTCGTAGGTTGGGGACGACGTGGATATATACAATCAACGGTACTATTTGGATCAAGGACCTATTGATCCAACCGACTTCTACGACCAATCCAACCATCGTTCAGGGGATGTTTGGAACGATCACCAGGTACATACAATTCTTCATCATTTGTATTTCTTTTATTTTGCTAATATACTTGGTGGAATATAAAATAAATTTGAAATAATTTAATCGTACTGGTTTTTTTCAATAATTTAATCGAATACATAGCGCCACTTACTTCGATTCTTTATAAAGAGATGCACGTCTAAGGAAATGAGATTTTAAGCGATTATCATGATCCTCCATTTCCTAGGAAAATCGGATATTAAGAGATACTCGGATCCCCCCTTTTTCTGTCAAAAAGGTTGCGTTTCTAAGAAGATGTATACCTCTTCTAAGAGTCTAACGAGTGTTGCATTGTATTCGATTAAATTATTTAAAATAACCAATATGATTAAATTATTTACCAAACAACCAATACGATTTATGTTTATGTATACTTAAATGAATTTTATTAATTTCAAATGTTTTAATATGTATGTATCTCTTTAAATTATTATTCATTTAGAATGTTATTTATGTCAATTAATTGAGTATGTTTGTTTTATGATAATATGTATATATCTTGATGCGACGGATCGCTTGCCACCATTGAGGAAAGGCCAAGTATCAATCACTTGGTTGATAAAGTATTTTAGGGACCATCACGATCCTTCCAAAAATGGGGTGCCCCTAACCGAGGAAAGTTCGGAGCTAGAGAAGGAAAGATATGCTCGTGTCTATCTCATAGGCATGATAGGAGGAGTGTTCTTCTCCAAAAAATCGAGCAATTTAATTAGCTGTGGATGGCTTAGGATCCTCCTTGGTAGTTGGGATGAGATGGGGGAGTTGAGCTGGGCATCTGCTAGCCTAGCTAATTCTACCACCATTTGTGCAATGCATCTCTCAAAGCTGTGATGGAGGTCGGCGGCGCAATGTTCATCGTCCAATTTTGGGCTTGGGAGCATTTGCCATGGATTGCACCGCTCAAATATTACGACAGCAATTGGGGTCCCGATCATCCCCTAAGACTCAAAGCTTATAGTTTTAGGTAAACTTCTCATACCCCATCATGATTTTAATAACTCAATTTTCATTATGTTTTAGCCTATTGTAGTTTTATTTTTGTCTTATTAATAAGGTGAGTTGGAGCCTCAACATGCAGACAACCTTGCCCAACACAAGTTGGTAGAGTATCGGAGGAGGCTAGAGCGAATCTAGGAAGGAGAGGTTACTAGAATACTTCGAAGTGTATAACTTTTTTTCATGGAGTACATGTATTTTTCCATTTTTGTTTACCTTAAGTTACTCATTTCTTTTTATAGATCAAATTCGATCCATACCCGGCGAATATCGTTCGTTGGCATTTACAGCAATTTCCCGGTCATATCTGGCAATGGTGCACGAGGGTCCCTCTCATTTGTTTAGGGACCGTGGAGTGGCACCAGCCGGATCGATGCCTTCGTTAGTTTGATCGGGAGCACTGCATTCCGTTGGAGGTCCCCGAGAGTCAAAGGGCGTTTCACCATCGAGATGGTCGGCAAGGTACTCACGATTGGCCCACGAAGTTGGCGGAAATGACCGTGATATGGGAAAGACAACAACTTCAGGACATTGTCACTCCAACAAATGTGGGTCGAATGGGGTATCATGACCCATACATGGATAGATATCGGCAAACATCGGTTCGGTACGTGACTCCGGAGGGTGCAGCCGATGGTGCTTTGGTAAGTATATTCCGTCTAAGAAATTAAATTTATTGCTTGTTTCACGGAGACACATCATTAGTCTTATCTTGCTAACCTTTTTTATGTGATTTAGACTGATGGGATCGAGCGGATCAAAGATTTGACCCAGGGGAAACATGAAATGGGCAGTGAAGATGTGAGCTTCATCAGGAGGATGACAAACAGTCTGCTTGGCTGTATCCGAGCACAGGGTCGTGATCATAGTAGATACCCGTGCATGCCTACACCGGTGCTCCTCCGGTACAAGTTGATGTCCCCCCCCCCCCCCCCCAACATACGAGAGAAAGAAAAGCAAGAGGGTTCGGGAAATACCTTATGTTCCCGAGATAAGGCCGTTGGAGGCGTGGAGAGTGCCGCCCCCTTGGTTGTGGCACACGGTGGCGGTCCGAGCTCACATCAAGATCCCCACTCGAGCCACTCCCAAGATCCCCATCATGATCCCCGCCCGAGCTACCATCATGATCCCCACCCGAGCTATTACTACGATCCCCTCCCGAGCTACCATCAATCCCCATATGATCCCCGCCCGATCTCATACCACGATCCCCGCCCACCATACTATGATCCTCGCCCACCATACATGTGCTTTCTTCCAATCTCATCAAAATATAAGAGGGAATGAAGATACTACAGATGTCCTTTCTTTCTTGAGCTCTGGTAGGTTGCTCCACAACTTCAATCATACCTAGATATCCCTCCTTCCAAAAGTCCCCAATGCCGATATGATGAGGCAGCTTAGGCCTATTGGTTTATGTCGTGTATTCTACAAAATGATTGCCAAGATCATAGATTCCCGCTTGGGGTCCGTATTGCCAGAAATTGTGAGTTCCAATCAAAATGGCTTTGTGCATGGTCGGTCTATCACGGATAACATACTGATAGGCCAAGAGATTATGCCATTTTTGAAAACGAAGGAGCAGAGACTTGACAAATCGATGGCGCTAAAACTAGATATGGAGAAAGCTTACGACCGTGTGGAGTGGTTCTTTCTCATACACATCATGCAGCAGCTCAGCTTTTGTCAAGAGTGGATGCGCTCGATTCAGGCTTGTATTTCGACAGTCAGCTTCTCAGCTTAGTGAATGGCTAACCATATGGGTACTTCAAGCCCCAACCGGGTATTCGAAAAGGAGATCCAATTTCTCCACTCTTATCCGCCCTCTATTTTGAAGCATTTACAACAAAGATAAACCAGGACATGAGTGCTGCAGTGTTACATGGTTTGCGCGTACATAGATTGCCCCGGTTACCTCTCACCTTCTATTTATCGATGATACCTATTTATTCCTGGGAGCTTCTCCTTTTGAATGTGATTACTTGCTGGATATTTTTGCGAAATTCGAACGAGTTAGTGGGCAAAAGTTCAACCTGCAGAAATATTCCATTATTGTGAGCGCTAATGTTACGGACCAGCAACGAGCAACCTTGGGAGCTTTGCTTGGTGTGGCGGATACTAAATCGTCATTTTGGAGGCAAGAGTAGGTTATCGCCCATCTTGGACATGGCAAAGCATTATACAAGGGCGAGATCTCCTATGTCGTGGAATACAGTGGCGCATTGGTGATGGAAAATCGGTGCCTAATCTAATAGCTAAGTGGCTTCCTTTTACTTCACCTTCTTCTCCTATTCCTCTCTTAGGAGTTCATATAATTCAGGAAGTGGTGACTGCTTTGATTTTCCCTTTCTCTCAGTCAGCGGCAGATCCAGGACATAAGAGAGCACTGGGCCGTATTTGAATAGAATATTAGATACCATAAACAAAAATATATAATAATATAGTTTTCATTACAACGCCAATTGTACAAGAAGGTCTTTTAATTTAGCAAATTCATCAATAATATAATCTCCATCCATACTGATAATATACTCTTTTTCAAAGAAAATAGCTAAGTAATCAACGAGAAATTCATCGCTCATTTTGTTGCACAAATCAATGTTCATGTTCCATTGCTGAAAATATTCTCTTCATGGTAGTTGTTGAAACGGCTAGGTCAACACTAGACAAATCAACCGAAAAATCAATTTGTATTATGTGTCCATCCCTATTTCCTCCAGCTTCTCTAATAATTTTGCAAGAGAAGAAACTTCATCTTCCTCACATGAGTAGTGCATTCTCCAAAGAATGCATCTCATAGCCTTCAAAGTCTCGAGGCTAAACTCTTGAGTAAGTTTGTAAATATTTTTTTCATCAAAACACCAGATAGAACAGTTAGAATCTAGTGCCCCACTCAATTGAAGCAATCTAAATGATGACTCAGTAAGTTTGTAAATATTATCTTAATCAAAAGAATGGAAAGAAAACCAGCTCGACGGGCTGGCAGAGAAATCCATTTTGGGTCTGCTCGTCTCCTCGTTCTTGTTTTGTTTTGGGGGGATTGGGAAATTTTTTGAATTTTGCAAGGAAGGGTGTGCTTTAGTTTAGAGTTTTTTTTTTATTTTATTTTAATGAAACTTTACACTTTTAGGTTTTCATGTCATTTTTCAAATAAAATCATTGGGGCTATAGAAAATTTAGTATAAATTTAGAGTAGTGGTTTTTTTATGGAAATTTAGAGTAATGGTTTGGATATGTTCATCTGAATCATTCTCCTAGTTACACAAAATCTTATTATCAAATAAAACTAGACAGAATTTTAAATAGCATTGGGCCAAATACCTAAATCGAAAAATTTTATAAGCACTAAACTAACAATGGATCCGGAGGAGGGATGAGCCGGGGCCTGGGTTGGCCCAGCCCTGGATCCGCCACTGCTCTCAGTAGTGGAATGAGTATCTTCTTCGATCTTTGTTTGTTCCTGAGTCGGTATCTCTCATTTTTCATTTCCCCTACCTTCGCAGCCGAGCCCGGATAGGCTGATTTTTTATTACTCAGGTTCCAAGGGATGCACCATCCTCCAACAAAAGAATTTGAGCTTGGGAACCAGAGGAAGATGTCACAGACATTTCCAGAACCTACTTTCATAAGGCAAAGGGGAAGGTTGATAGCGAGCATTAAGTTCAGTCGATAGCAATTAACTATAATCAGATTCTATCTATCATCAATTCACTATTATCAATCAAGCAAGCTCTTTTAACCTAATCAGATTCTATCTATCATAGGTTAAAGCAGAAATCAACAGAATATGATCAGGATTCAATTGAATCAACATCTCCAAGCTTGATTCCCGAGCTCTAATGGTGAATAAATCCTCCAAAATAGCTCCAAGAATGATCCCAAGTTGCTCTCTCTCTAGGATTCATCCCTTGGGTGTTTGGGATCCAAAACCCAGCTTTCCCACTCCAAAAATCACAGAAAACAAACTTATACCCGAGCAGCACGCAAAAACACGGTTGTGTTTCTCAAGCGGTGTTTCAGCACTTCTCTTGTTTCTTCTCATCACTAAAAACACGGGCACAGGAGGACAAAACACGACCTTGTTTCTCCTCCCCGTGTTTCTTCCTCAGCTCATGTTCCACTGTCTTTGATGCTTCGTTTCTCCCTCGCCCGGACTTCGAATCAATCATCGTTTGATCACAGACGCTCTTTGTCTCATCCTCTTTCGTTTAATGACAAGCATACATGATTTTTTGTCCATAAAATGAGGTAGAAATCCATTCTTTTTCAGGTCATGCTCGAGTTTATTCTCCCGAATCCCCAATTGATCTCTGATTGACTTGAAACCTGCGCCTATACTTCAGTTTACGTGCTAGGACCTGAAATATGACAAACGAAAACGACCTAGCATAAAAGTGGCAAAGAAAGCACAAACTCGAGCCAAAACGACCAAGAAACGACAGTGCAAACATGTGCAAATATGATGCTATCAAATTCCCCAACACTTAACTATTTGTTTCTCCCCAAGCAAACAAAGTCAGACACAAGGTAAGCTAAAAACGTTTTAACCATGCAATCTTTGGGGACATATCATGTAGGCACAAAACACGTGAATCGTACTGACTTTTAGACATCAACACATCAACAACAACCTAGACAACCACCACAGATGACATTCGAGTGCTGCAAAATCTGGTAAAGGAAATGTCTCACTTCTGTTCACCAACCAACATAGAATAGAGTCAACCACTCATTCAAAACAGTCACCTCATGCATAAAATTCAAGATATCAGAATAAAGACCGTCCAATCTAGGTCCTCACCGGGGTATATAATATGAAAATTGAATCACCACAGATGACATTCGAGTGCAGCAAAATCTGGCAAAGGAAAAGTCTCACTTCTGTTCACCGATCAACATAGAATAGACTCAACCACTCATTCAAAACAGTTACCTCATGCATAAAATTCAAGACATCAGAATCAAGACCGAGCAATCTAGGTCCTCACCAGGGTATATAATACGAAAATTGAATCACTCACTCTCTACCAGTGGGGTCAAAACAAAATTTGATGCAAGATGTGTGCATACTCATACTCTCAATTCCTAACGTCTCTTCACCATGACGACAGCCTCTAAATGCTAGAGTTCACATATCAAGTGTCACTACTAACTTGTCTTGAGGTCTTAGACACGGGTTTAGATTACTAGCTAGGGACTTGGACATGAGAAAAAGAACTTTTAGGTGGTGGAAATATTCATGACACAAGGTTCCATAGTTCCAAAACCCAACACAACAATATTCATTCGAACCAATTACTTTCTCCATGCTATTCTGCATTGATCAAGTTCTTTAGAGCACAAGAGTGAAGGAAGTCACAACATGTTAGTATTTCCAACCCAGGCTACTAAGAAACACTATTTAATGAACATGATTTAGATTTTTGTGGTGGCTATCTTTTTCTTTCATTTCTTTGTCATTTTTGTTCTATTTTCTATTTTTTTTTTCTTTAGAGAACCACCACTTTGTCACATTCTTTTTATCCTTTCACGTACATGCCTAACCTTTAAGAATTGCCTCAAAATCTCCACAATTGACTGCTATCAATCAAGGAAGCTCTTTTAACCTAATCAGATTTTATCTATCATAGATTAAAGCAGAAATCAAGAGAATATGACCAGGATTCAATTGACTCAACAAATCATGCCTCAATTGATTAAAACCAACAAGTATAGCATCCAAAAGTTGATACAAGAAAGATCCTAACACATGGAACTAGGATCCCTAAAAAACTAAGTGAAGGGAAGTTACACGATAGAGAAGAGAGAGGTTGTAGAAATATTATCTAAATCTTCAATCTCCATCTCCAAACTTGATTCTCGAGCTCCAATGGTGAATAAATCCTCCAAAATAGCTCCAATAATGTTGTCAAGTTTCTCTCTCTCTAGAGTTTGTCCCTTGGGTGTTTGGGATCCAAAACCCAGCTCTTCCACTCCAAAAATCGCAAAAACCATACTTATACCCAAGCAACAGACTGAAATACGATCATGTTTCTCAGGTCGTGTTTCAGCCCTTCCCTTGTTTCTTCTCGTCACACGGGCGCGAAAGGACAAAGCACGACCATGTTTCTTCTGCCTGTGTTTCTTCCTCAGCTCATGTTCCAATGTCTTTGATGCCTGTGTTTCTTCAGGTCATGCCTGAGTTTCTTTTCCCAAATCGCCAATTGATCTCTGATTGACATGAAACTTGCGTCTATACTTCACTTTACGTGCTAGGACCTAAAATGTGACAAAGGAGAACAACATAGCATAAAATTGGCCAAGAAAGTATAAACTTGAGACAAAATAATCAAGAAACGAGGGTGCAAACATGTGCAAATATGATGCTATCACTTATCGAATGTTCAAAAGGCCCAAACAAGAATGAGCATTCAAATATCTAATAAATCAATAGTTTTACCTAAGAGAATAGTAAGGACCTTCTGCAGTTGTTAAAAGTGAAGTGATATTTCTTCATAATAGAGTCACATTTTGATACGTAATCCAGTATCCCCTTCGTCCGGTGGATACCCTTCTTGGGAAACTTGTTGCGATGTAGCTTCCCAAACACATAATGCTCGCAAAATTCCAAATTCTGCACCTTGTGCCCGCAAAGAAGATCCCTCTTTGACAGAACTTGCATCCCTCATTCACTCATGTTCCCTCGTGTTTCTTCTGCCTCGCCACTTGTACCAGATCCGAACGCCTTATGCCTGATCTCTCTCGTATGAAGAGCAGACTTGACATCCTCCAAGGACACACTTTCTTTACCGACAATTAAAGAATCAACGAAATTCTCATATGAACTCGGCAAAGAAACCATTAGGATTAGGACAGCATCCTCGTCATCAACTTGAACATCTATATTACGCAGATCCAGCAAAATAGAGTTAAGGTGTTCGAGATGTTCCCTCAAAGGCGTACCTCCTTGCATCCTCAAGTTGAACAACCGTTGCTTGAGATGCAGCTTGTTGGTTAGAGACTTAGTCATGTACAGACTGTCAAGTGTCAACCACAAGCCCGCTACAATCTTCTCAGCAGCAACTTCAATGATGACGTCATCAGACAACGATAGCATGATGGTCGAGTGGGCCTTCTCCTCTAGGGTATTCCACTCATCGTCATCGACCGCTGCCTTCTTCTGTTTCGCAGACAGCGGCCCCTATAGCCCTTGTTGTTTCAATAAAGCATGTATCTTGATCTGCCATATAGCAAAGCTGTTCTTCCCGGTGAACTTTTCGATCTTCATGTTCACCAACGTCATTCTTCTGAATCGAAAACCCTTGCCTGATTTCCAGCCGTGGCTCTGATACCACTTGTTATAAATGCGCTGCTATGGATAGGAAAATTGCCGGAATCGATAAAGCATGAATACGAAAGCGAGAATCGAAAAACAAAGACACACGATTTACGTGGTTAACTAACACGATGTGTGTTAGCTAGTCCACGGGCGAGAGAGAGCCAGTTTCACTATATCGAGGAGATTACGGATTAAAGAGGAATATGAGAAGTATTTATAGTATTTCTCCATGTGGTTCTAAACCTAATCCAATTTGGCAAAGGAAACGGTTACAGACCAGGCCCAGAACCCGAACCCAAATACCATTGACCCCCCACTACTAGCCGTAGCGGCTGATAGCCGATTCAAGTCACGTCAACATGAATTCTTTCCTTGATCACTTCTGATCCTTTGGATAGAAGTTTGAAATTGGTTTTTGATCTAAGAGCAAAAGTATTTTCGTTTAGTTAAGAATGATTCATGTCATTCTTGTAAAGTAAACAACTGTGGTAAAAAAAATATTTAAAACTATATCAAATGGGATTGGAATTAGGCCCCCATAGATCAACATTTATGAGTTCAAAATCTTGTGTGGAAATAGGAAAACGTCACAAGGCAAAGACTTCTATGTCAAAGTTGCCTTAAGTGAGGTATTTTGGAATGGGAAAGAAGGCCTAGTCTATAGTTCCAAATATCAAAAGTTCTCACACTAGTTATTGTCATGTGTTTAGAGTTACTGTCTCTAAGGAAATGAAATGTTGTCAATAAGGTAAAGACCATAGGATATTTTAGCAGAACCAGTCATCATCTTTAGATGCATATCTTGTATTAGACACGCACGTGAGAAGAAAGTCAAGCATAGTAAAGTATTTGTGGTTAGTTTGCTCACTGACACCAAGTGGAAACTAAATTGTGGGACATATAAAACCTCAATGTTGGTGACAGTCCCGGTATATGTATCTGCAACTTGTTCTCCTATTGTGAGAGTGGTATAGACATTGAAAACCTTTCTTTATTTTTTCAAATGATCCAAAGAACATACTAAGTGATCTGAAGCCCCGGTCTCAAGAATCCAATTATGTAGATAAGGGAAGTTGATATTTGTAGACAAGGTAAATTAACTTGAATTCCTGTTGGTAAAATTGGCAGCTGAGAAGGATGGTCTAGTAGTCAGTTGTGATTCCTGGGAACCTTTCTCTTACATCAGATTCATGAGCTTCTCATAGTCTACTTTGATAATTAAGCTTGACTAGCTTCCTGTTATAAGTCATATTGAACGTTGCCTGAGCTTGTATTTGCATAGGTTTTACCTCTGGTGCTTCCTCTTTGTGGAAATCCATGTTTGTGAAAGCACAAGTCCTTAGTGTGCCCATGCCTATTATTGTGAGTGATTTCCAATATTCTTCCAGTTGAGTTATCGGTTCTTGTGTTGATACCACAAGGCCATTCATGCTTGTGATAGTACATATCTTTTGTGTAACCATGTATCTTATACCAAGTACATATCTTTTGTCCTTAAATTTGTTGTTGCCTTGAGCATTAATCATGGTCATGGATTCAGTGGTGAGACTTTTGTTTATCATTGTGCCATTTTGTTGTCTCTCATGATGGAGCATCCTTGCCAAAAATCGATCAACCGCTGGTAGTGTCTCACCTAACAGAACTTGTGACCTCGCACTAGAAATATTATCATCCAATTAGCCTCTCAAGAACTTGATCACATGATTGGTATCCCTATATTCAAACACCTGTTTCATTGCCCTATAGTTAGTGTGACTCTCAGTTGTACATACACTTGGCTCTAGATGTTGGTAATCGCCTAAATTCACCCCTTAGAGCTATCAGATTTCCATAGTAACCCATGATTGAAAGGTTACCTTGCTTCAAGAAGCATAGAGATTTAGTCAGCTCATCAATCATTACCATGTCACCCTATCCATATCTAGCCCTTAAGTTTCTCCATGCTTCAAGAGTTGTCTTGCCGGACATAATGGTTTTTCTGTTCCATGACCAAGATAATGGACTTCCTTCTCTTAGATCTGGTAAAGTGCCAATTGAACCAAACTTCTTCTTGGATCCTAAGGAATTGCTGATAGCTTTACTACAGTCATTGTAGTTGGTTGGGTTAGTTTTTCTTCCAATAGCTGTAGACCAAGGTGCTCATATCCATGGAGATAATAGGGATCTGCCATGGAGATAAATGGTTGCAACCATGCTCTCATACCATGATGAAGGAATTGATGTGAAAACCCTAGAAGTCTTTGCTTCTTTCTCATTGTATATAGAAAGCTTATATAGCTTTTGTTGCGTGGTGTTACAAAGCATGCATGAACAAAACCTTAAAGTTCAAGGAAAGTAGAAAAACTAGGGCTAGAAGAAAGTACAACCCCAAAATATAAAAAGAAAAAAATTCACAACTTGAAGTGTTTTGATAATTTGCCAAAAATGACGTCACTCCTGTTTGGACAACTTGTCGTTGTGGGTGAAACGGTAACTCCCTCTACCGTTCTGGGATCATATTGTGCATGGTCTTGCTTTAGGTTTGGGAAAGCCGAATCCGCAAATTAAAAAAAAAGAGTAAACACTAATTATCAACCAAACCTTTTTCTCATTCTTTTTTATTAGGAAAACCTAAATCTTTTGTAATGCATCAAAATTTTAGGCATTTTTATGTTACCATTAATAATTTTGTAACTTTTTTTGTAGTTAAAATACTATATTTTTTAAATGTTGACCTCCGTGTGTCTTTTCTAAATCAGTATCATGTTGCTAAGTGCATATTACTAACAAAATTGCTAACTGGAAGTTAACATTTGGTTAATTATTAGTAATTCAATAGGTTTGAATAATAAAAAAGAATGTGAGAAAGGTTTAGCTAATAATTAGTATTTGCCAAAAAAACAATGCATCCTATATTTTCATACCAAAAGAGGAAATAAGGATAATATATAGTCAAAATCTATGGTTGAAAGTTAAAAACTTACGTTTTTACACTTCTACGTCGAATTGCAATTTTGACTGCATTGGTCATATGGTCATTGACGGATCTAGCCACTTTTGAGTATGTTTCAGGACACCTAAAACATATGAAAAAAAATTGATGATATATATATATATATATATTCCAAAGGAAATGCGAGTAAATGTATATAGATAGAATGAAAATAATTTGAGTTAGATTGCATAAATTGTGAGATGACAATAGAAATAATAGATGTAAGTGATTTTATAATTACATTAATGTGAATGCTCTAACCTACTAGCCATTCACATGTATTGATAATATGTTATCTTAGTAGGAACTATGTAATTATTGTTGTGTTTTGAGAGAATTGAATTATGGGAATCATGATATATGATTTTTATTTATTCGTATTTCACGATAATCGACTATGAAATAGAATTAAAACAACACATATGATTAGGGATAGTTGGTAAGGTTGTGCATATTATTTTCGATAATTACTAATTATTAGCCAATTCTTTTTCGTATTTTTTATATTAGCCATACCTATTGAATTACTAACAATTAGCCAAATCTTTTGTAATGCATCAAAATATTATCCATTCTTCTGTTACCGTTAATAATTTTTTAATCATTTTCTTAGTTAAAATGCTAAAGTTTTGTAACGTTGACTTGCATGTGTCTCTTCCAAGTCCGTATCATGTTGTCGAGTCAATATTACTAACAAAATTGCTAACTGGAAGTTGACATTTGGCTAATTATTAGTAATTCAATAGCTTTGGCTAATAATTAGTCTTTACCCTTTTAATACTTTGGTTTAATTCATCCAACTATCGAACAGGTTTAAAATTCTCTTCATTCCATAATTCTCTAACATTTTGATCGACTACAAAATAGTGTAAAAAAGTACATGATAAGAAATGGTTGGTTAATCGACTACAAAATAAAATAGCTAGTGCAGGGGTTATTTTTAGATTTAACAACGTAAATGACCGGCGCTACCAATCCCGCCAGTGGTTGCTATACCCCAGCAATACTGGCGCTAGACCGACCGCCGCAACGGAATGCCAGGGGTCGGCCCAACCGCTGATGGATGCTCTTGCAGCGGTTTTAAATGGCCGTTTTTTCTTTTTTGTATTCCCCATGTGCCATTGAGCTTTTTTTCCCCCAGCGGTGACCTATGTTTTTGCAACAGTATTGGAACCCTGTAATTTGATTTAGACACAACTTTTGACACTGTTCTAGAAATGCGTCGATAAAAGCTAACAAGTGAATTTTAAATTTTAAATTCACATAAATTTCTAGAACCCCTGCTATCTGCTGCAGCATTTCAATTCTCTGTAACTTTAAAAGTCTAAATCACCCATTACTCTTGCCATTGATTGCTAACTTCATCCACAATGCACATTGTTCCTAGCACAAATTATCATAAATAAATTGAAAAAATAACAACTCAAATCAAAAGAACAGTGTCAACTAATAGAAGGATGAATTTCCAGCAAGATCCACAACATCCAACTTTGCTTGCTCTTGAATCACCCACATCATGTAATACATTGCTTTCATCTAAAACACATCTTAGCCTGTTACAAAGCCACCCAAAAGAATAGAATCAAACTCATTAATAGCACGGAGAAGATAAATAAGCTCAGAACATGAGGGAAAATAAGTTTCAAGGCAACAAAAAAAAATCCATGAAACATAGAACAAGAAGAGAAACAACAGCAAGTGACATACAAACCCATACTGGTCTTGAACATATACATGAAAAGATACAAACTAATACAACCCTTTCAAGCATAAAAGAAAATGAAATGAAACAAACTAATCACTGTAGACTACAGACACAAAGAACTACATGTCAGTCTTTCAATTAGTTACTTCCTACCCCATCTACACCAACTAGAATTACCTTACTGACGTTACTCAACAAACTACCGCACTTACAAAACATAAATACCAGCAAAATTAAAAAACAAAGAAGCAAGATGAAAAGGAACAACTAATCCACATTAATTAGGAAGGAAAACTGACCTTCTCCTATCTCACTCTGCCCACCCAAGAGTTTCGATGCAGGATATGACCATCAAATGGTTCCACACCCCCTGAAGATGGCACCATAAATAAAAGGATTCCGGTTGTGACCTGAAAACCAATACCACCAAAGATTGTGAGCTTCTAAACTGAAACAAAAGAGCTGACACAAAGGTGAATGATGATCAATAGAAACCAGAGGTCATACTTTGCTCCACTAGAATATTTCACCATCATCAAACTGAAGGGTCAGATCCCCTACCGGGTCGAGTTGAACGAATTGCCCCGGGAATTTGGTGTGCAAGAGAGAAATGATAAATAACTGAGGAAGAGTAAAGACATAAACCTGTATATGGTCGGTGGCTCTCACTACAACAAAAAGTCCCTATACCAAGGGTTATGTAGCAAGTGTTTAACAAACCCCTGCTAAAATTTTCGGAACATATTCTAATACGGTTTACACCGAGGGTTTAGAAACCCTTGCTACCGCCCAACTCTGTTTCAATAACCAAACTGGGAAACTTATTCCAATCACTCCGCTTCTCTATTTCAAGCTCAGTATTGTCACTGAGATCCGCCCACCCCCGCCACATCACTCCTTCGAGTAAATCAGTAAACGAATTCAAAAAAAAATTCGAGTTCTCCGATCCCTCCCTCACCCCAAGCGATTCTTCAGTCTCTCGTTCACTCCGAGCAGCGGTTCTCCGATCTCGTTAACTCCGATCGGCGCCCAATCTCTTGGTCTCTCCAGCGGCGCCCGACCTCTCGTTCACTCCGTGCCATGCCCAATCTCTCGTTCTCTCCGGGCGACGGCAGTTCTCTCGTTCACTCCGAGCGGCGCCCGATATCTGCGATCTCTCATCCATTCCAAGCAGCACGATTCCCTGATCTCTCTCTTCGGTAACTATCTCAGGCTATAAGGTTATATCTCTCTTCGATCCCTTTCTCGTTCTGGATATAGATAGGTTTTAGGTTTCATTTTTGTTTTGCACCGGCTCTATCTTATTTGTTCTTGTTGTTAATTTGGTTTTGAGAAGGTTCGCATGCAATGTCCCTGAGTTTTAGGGAGTTTGATTCCTTTATGTAAAGGACTGGTTGTTTTTTGTTTGGTTTTACATGGTAGCTCTCACCATTCGATGTAGAAGTATTGATATATTGTGGTTTAGTGGATTAGTCAGTTTTCACCACGAACTCACCCTAGCTAAGGGATCAATCTCTATTCACTTGATCATGCTAGCATAAGTCGGTGATTGATTGTGTTTCGGTGTACTGCTTTTGTCAAATTCATTATTGTATATCTGTGCAGTTGATGATGCTAGTGGAAGCTGTGGAGCATGTACAATAGTTAGCCCTTTGCCTTTTCTGTTTAGTCTGCACAGTAGCTTCGTGCTAACACAGTTGATTTTCTTCTTCTTAAAAAGTAAGGGAAACAGAGAGGAGTATGATGTACTAGCGGGTGATATTCATTTAATTGGTTGTTGATTGTGTTTGTGTTGTGGATGGAAGGGGTTTTCCCCGATCCATACGAGCTGTCTCGGTGTGCTTTGATGAATTGAAATTTATCCCTTTGAAGTTTGATGGCTAGTTCTGCATCATTACATTTATGTTTTATCCTCCCTTTCACTTGGATATGACTATGAAAGGTTTCCTTCCAATCACCATTTACTATCTCTGTCTATTCTCTTTCACTCAAATAGAGGTTGATCCCTTTGGTGGCTAGTTCTGCACCATTTTGTTGAAACTTTACTTTGATTAAGCTTATTTCCATTTTAACAGGCTGGTTCAAGTGTTCGATCTTCAGGAAGATCAACCCTTGAAGGCATGGATTCCACCTCTACATCTGCATTTGTCATTTGAATTCCAGAAGTTTATGAGACTGATCAATGGCAGGGACAAGGGAAGGAAACCCAAGTTGTTGAAGGTATGGGTTCATGATTACTGTTCATCTATAACTTATCAGTTCATCTCCCGGGCATTTAAACGTTTAGATGAGTTAGACAAATGCTATTCTCAACAGATATCTGCTGACCAACCTTGCTTTGGACGTCCATGGTCCCTATTTGAGGATCAGGTATCATGCAACCTCTTTGATCTTGCTCTTTGTAACTTTTGTTACTGAGTAGGATAGCTTCTTAATTTGGCAATATATGATTTCTGTATTACAGGCACTTTTCATCCTTGTACATGATATGGGTCCTAATTGGGAGCTTGTAGGCGATGCTATTATCAACATAGCTCTTCGTTTTAAGTTGAGTATTCATATCGATCTGTCTAGATTTTGGTTCATTATACTGCTAGATGTGTGTCATGTTGTTCCTGCTACTGAGCTGCCTTTATTTATACATGTTATTGAAGCAATTTATTTAATAGTACTTGAAAAATGGTGATCTTTGATCTTGTATCTTCTAGTTGGTATTTCTGGGCATGAAATAACTATCAATATATTTGTTTTCAGTATGGTGGCACTTACGTATTGGAGCCTCGGCCATGGGAAGCATGTAATAAGAACTATCAAGTTCCCATGGTATTTTCCCTTTTCGCATTATCAATCTTTGCACAAATCTTTTCATATTATGCTTAAGATTGTACTGGTTTGTGCAGTTGCTGATATGCATTGGTCTGCACATTCTGCAGACAGCAACTGAACATTACAAAAACATAATGTTCCCCTTGATAAATTTCAGGAAATTTTCTTCTAAATAAGGTAAATGAATTTTAACCCTTGCATATGTAAACATGCAGTGAAATTGGAATCAATTGGCCAATTTTTGCATTCCAAAGGTGGCAATCCCAGTGCCCTGAAGCTCAATTTGTTGTTCATCTCATGTCATGATACTTAGCTATCACTTTGATTATTCAACTGACACAGGTTGCAAGCTTGCAGGGTATGAGTACCAATGTACCTGCTCTATTCCTTTTCATTGGTGAGTGACAAGCTGCAGGGTATGGGGACAAACGGACCTGCTGTACTCTATTTCATTGGCGAGCCTTCAACTTCTCTGTCAACTTGTTTGAGGTAATTGACCAGAGGATGAATCCTCTTCCTAATTTTAGAGAGGTTGAGGCTGAAATTAACTTCAGCACAAGGATTGCGTGAAGCAAGTCTACATAGGTAAGTTCTTTAAAGCTGTATAGTTAAATCTAGAAGAGGAATGGTGTCTAGTTCTTACTGATGAAAGTGGGTGTTATTATGTAGGGGGATTTGACACAACACATGAAGCTGCTCGGTGAGATTCTTCTCTTCCTCTCCTTTCAACTTTATCTCTCTAGCATAGGGTGGTCACTTTCTTGGCATACCTTGGAACATTATTCTTCATATATAACATCTGATCACCGGGTAGATGAAAGCATCAACATGGGATTTTGTTTGTTGTTTGCTGCAGAGCATATGATAGAGTGGCGATCAAACAGGTACATACAGCTAGCTAGTGAGATAGGGGAGGATATTGTTGCTTTTGAGAATGTTTCAAACTCTTCTGACTATTCTAGTTGTGTACTCAACAGTTGGTACTTGGTTTTCTCAGCATTTTCTCATTTAGGTTGTATCCATTTTCCTCTGCTTCTTTCTCATGGATTCTAGAATGGCAGTCAACCCTTCATAGCTGTTGTGTTGCTGGTAAGAGTAATGGAAGATAATCTTGCCTACTATTGGGTATATACTGAAATATACTTTTAATACTATTAAAATCTAGGCAAAATACACTTGTATAGCCAAAACTTTGACGGTTTGGCCAAATATAGCCACTTTTGGCGAAATACCAAAAATAGCCAATTCCGTCCAATTGTTTGACGGTATTAACCAAATAGCTGACTGGACTAACGGAGAGGCTGAGTTGGCCACAATTATTCAATTAAAGTGTGAGGTGGAAAATAAAAATAAATTATTTTTTTTATTTTTCCTCTCCCATCTCTTTTCCTTCCCCTTCCCAGCGTAATCTCTCCCATCTCTTTTCCTACCCAGAACAAGCCCATTAATCAATCTTCCATAACCCTTTATTATTGAGATCAATCAATCCATCCCTACCATCTTCTGTCGTCGATACCCCCAGCCCACCACCACCATTTTGAAACCCCACACCCTTCCGGCTGTTGCTTGGATTGTCGTCGCGCCGTAGCTCGTCCGCTATGACCCTGCCCCCAATCTCTCTTGGTCGAGTGAATTAGAGAAGAAGGATTCAGCCGCAACCGCCCTTCATCTCTCGATCTCGCCGCCGCCGCCTCCCTTCATCTCTCGATCTAGCCGCTGCCGCCCTTCATCTCTCGATCTCGCCACCGCCGCCTCCCTTCATCTCTCGATCTAGCCGCTGCCGCCCTTCACCTCTCGATATCGCTACCACCGCCTCCCTTCATCTCTCGATCTCGCCGTCGTCGAATTGGAAGCGGTCGTCATCAATCATAGCCGGATCTGAGATGGAACACTTTGTTGTGTGAGTCTCGTCGTTTGCGTAGTTAGCGGTGTCGAGATCGTCAATCATAAACCTATTTCCCCAAATTCTAGGGTTGAGGAGAAACCCAGACTCCCAGAGATGCCCGACCAGTCGACTGGAGCGATTGAAGGGATGGGCTGGAGCGACGATCAGATGGGTGGGTGCGGGGGATTCGGGGGAGAAGTTTGGTGAAGAAGTGCGGGGGAATCGGGGAATCGACAAAGGTTGGTTCGTGAAGAGGGAGAAGGCAACATACAAAGAAGGCAGGGAGGAAAGAGAAGATAATTATTTTTTCTAGGCAAAATCCATCTGTATAGCCAAAACTTTAACGTTTGTGACAATAATAGCCACTTTTGGGGAAATACCAATAATAGCCAGAATTTTGAAAGTTTGATGACAATAATAGCCATTTCCGTCCAAAACTTTAACGATGTTACAAAATTATGTCTGTTAGATTAACGGTATGCTGACGAGAATGCCAAATCATTGCCACGTCAGCGACAACTCAGCCTTAATTGCCACACAGATGCCATGTCACAATTCACTTCTAATATATCTTATATTTATTTTTCATTTAGAAAAAATAATTATCTTCTCTTTCCTCCCTGCCTTCTTTGTCTGTTGCCTTCTCCCTCTTCACGAACCAACCTTTGTCGATTCCCCGATTCCCCCGCACTTCTTCACCAAACTTCTCCCCCGAATCCCCCGCACCCACCCATCTGATCGTCGCTCCAGCCCATCCCTTCAATCGCTCCAGTCGACTGGTCGGGCATCTCTGGGAGTCTGGGTTTCTCCTCAACCCTAGAATTTGGGGAAATAGGTTTATGATTGACGATCTCGACACCGCTAACTACGCAAACGACGAGACTCACACAACAAAGTGTTCCATCTCAGATCCGGCTATGATTGATGACGACCGCTTCCAATTCGACGACGGCGAGATCGAGAGATGAAGGGAGGCGGTGGTAGCGATATCGAGAGGTGAAGGGCGGCAGCGGCTAGATCGAGAGATGAAGGGAGGCGGCGGCGGCGAGATCGAGAGATGAAGGGCGGCAGCGGCTAGATCGAGAGATGAAGGGAGGCGGCGGCGGCGAGATCGAGAGATGAAGGGCGGTTGCGGCTGAATCCTTCTTCTCTAATTCACTCGACCAAGAGAGATTGGGGGCAGGGTCATAGCGGACGAGCTACGGCGCGACGACAATCCAAGCAACAGCCGGAAGGGTGTGGGGTTTCAAAATGGTGGTGGTGGGCTGGGGATATCGACGACAGAAGATGGTAGGGATGGATTGATTGATCTCAATAATAAAGGGTTATGGAAGATTGATTAATGGGCTTGTTCTGGGTAGGAAAAGAGATGGGAGAGATTACGCTGGGAAGGGGAAGGAAAAGAGATGGGAGAGGAAAAATAAAAAAAATAATTTATTTTTATTTTCCACCTCACACTTTAATTGAATAATTGTGGCCAACTCAGCCTCTCCGTTAGTCCAGTCAGCTATTTGGTTAATACCGTCAAACAATTGGACGGAATTGGCTATTTTTGGTATTTCGCCAAAAGTGGCTATATTTGGCCAAACCGTCAAAGTTTTGGCTATACAAGTGTATTTTGCCTTTTTTCTAAATGAAAAATAAATATAAGATATATTAGAAGTGAATTGTGACATGGCATCTGTGTGGCAATTAAGGCTGAGTTGTCGCTGACGTGGCAATGATTTGGCATTCTCGTCAGCATACCGTTAATCTAACAGACATAATTTTGTAACATCGTTAAAGTTTTGGACGGAAATGGCTATTATTGTCATCAAACTTTCAAAATTCTGGCTATTATTGGTATTTCCCCAAAAGTGGCTATTATTGTCACAAACGTTAAAGTTTTGGCTATACAGATGGATTTTGCCTAAAATCTATCAAGTAACTTATTTTTATACGTTAAGTAACTGTACAGTAGGTTATTATTTGATTTTTATACTTTTAGTGCTCATTGAACTTTTGTGTTTGATGTGTTGCTTGCTACACCTTAGGTGACAATCGAGGTGGCTATACATGGTACCTACGAACTTCCTTCTGTTGACTGTAGTAGTGACAAAATGAAAGATGCTCTCAACTCTCTGGATACCATACTTGATCAAATTTTGGCAAGCAATGTGCTACCAAGGAGAGGTGATCGTAAGATATTTCAAAGGGGTATTTTTTTTTGGCTTTCAAGGATGTTGGATCATGACTAGATCATTAGGTTGTTTTGAGTACTTAGAATATTATGAATAGTAAACTATGTTTCTTTCGATTATGTTTGAATATCTATAGTTATTAGCATTTTACCATGTAAAGAATATTAGTTTTTATCATAAATCATGGAATGAATCATAAAATATTGATGGGTATGTATTGTATGATTTGGCTATCAAGAATGATATTAATAGTCAAATTAGCAAGAAAAATGCTTGGTTCTGGATTTATCTATAGTGACCAGTGCAATTGCAACCAAGTAATAGTCACAAATCTGCGTGGCTCTCTTTAGCAACGATTTATTTGTATCTCTTTAGTGATAGTTTTTAGTTGGTTGCAAATTGATTTAGCGACGAACAAAGCAAGGGTTTTAACCCCTACTACAAACATCTCATTAGTGAATTTTACACTGAAGTGTAGCAAGGGTTTTAACCCCTGATACATATAGCAGGGGTTTGAAACCCCTGCTACAACCCTTGGATGGGACTTTCACCGTGGGTTGCTAAAAACCTTTGCTACACGTAGCAGGGGCAGCATTAGGGAGGGTTCAAGCAGGGGTTGGTGAAACCCTTGCTACAACTGGTAGCAGGGGTTAAAACCCTTGCTATAGGTAGAAAAAACCCTTGCCATAGACCCATTTTTTTGTAGTGTCTGTTTGTCAACCAATATACTTCAATATGATGAACATGATGGCTACAAAGCAAATTTATAGTCAGATAACCAATACCATATTTGTAGCATAGTAGTAAGAAGCAACTAATATTGAATTGAGGAAGAATTACAATCTGTAGAAGACCCACCTCAGAAGCATACCTGCTCCTACTCGTATTTTGAGATGAAAATGGGATTTTCCTGCATGGCAAAAAGACAAGTTCAAAAACAAATCAACCCTACTACTAAATAATTCAGGAGTTCTCACTCTTATTTAGTCATCATGAGCATCAAATAGACATGTAAGTATAAGAGTGGTCCATAATGCCCTTTGTTTCTTGCGATAAACTCAAAAGAACCAGTTTTATATTACCTAAAAGCATACCAAAGCTCTTTGTTCTCAGGATCCAAATGAACTACAACAGCAATCGTATTAGTTGATTTATGAAAGTTCTGCATTCATGACAACATATTTCAAGGGTTGGTCGTCTTTGTTTGTCCCGAAGTAAGAAGAACAAAAAGCTACAGAATAAAGGAAAGGAAAACATGCTTTAAGCAGGTTCCCGACTATACCAACCCTGTAACATGCTTTATCTTTGAAAGCATTGCTTTAAACCAGCAGCATCAAATGATTCTTGATGAAGTTTTCCTTCTATATCAGGTTGTCTGTAATTATTTTATAGAAGAAACATAATTTAGGAGCATCAATGGTTAAGAAAGAAATAGTACCTTTCCCTAAGTCTAAACAAACAAAAGAATACTAAAATGCACTTCTCCCTACATGCTACTGGATAGGTTTATACCAACAAATCAAAACACTATCGAGTTAAATCCAGAACCATATGCATGTTATAGGCTAATAAAATAGAGCCAAAAGATCACAGGTAATGATTATGCTCTATACTAGAAACTATACACTGCAAGAAAACTAACTTAAAATAACTTACTTCCTAGAATCTCCACAACAAAGCATCACCATTTGTCACTGGTTAACAGTACTAGAACTACAATATGATTCTACATTTATCTTAAGGGAGAGAATATAAATGTCTAACCAAAAGGGCTCTGCTCTGAAAGTGATTATTGAACCATGCTAACATGAGTTTCCACCACAAAATCATGAAAGAAATATAGGATTCCCATATTACGGAAAATGGAGAAAAGAAAAGAGTTGTTTAGTTATATAAGGTAGGGAAAGCTTCCTTCTCTCATTAGAGAATGAAACCCAGAAAGAAAGAAAGGTGGGGACCCTATGTAACATCCCGAACCTTTTCCTGACAAGATACTGTCCGCTATGGGCCTCGACCCTCACGGTTTTCGACTTGGGGTGCAATTCAGGGTGACTTCCCATAAGGTTACCCATCCTTGTTGTACTCCATACTGAGCACGTTTAACTTCGGAGTTCTCACAATAACTTCTCTGTTTCACCCCAAAACGCGTCTTGTCAGTTAAGGTCGGTTTCCTACTAATGAACCATAGATCTCTCCCGTGCTTTGTCGATGCGGGATTCGCCTAAGGTGTTACACCCTAACCTAGCTCTGTACCAACCCAATGATCAATAACACTATAGCATCGATGTGGCACTCACATAAGATACAAATAATTCAAACTATACATCAATTCAAGCTTAAGAACTTATGGAATCGGAACCAAGGGATCAATTGATTCATAAATCAGTCAAATACCCTATGGAGATAGAGTTCGATTCTATCATATGGGAAGAAGAACAACAGTGGCTTTCGTGCGAAAAGCGATTGAACATGTCTATTTTCAGTAAGACCAGAGAATTGATAAAAGAGGAATCGGGATGGACTCACACAAGTTGATGAAATCCCAGATGGCCAGCTACTGTTGATCATGGGACATATTGCTAGCGATTCGAGAAGCAATCGATTGAGGAAAATGAGAACGACGAAATACAAATCTCGATGTTGATCCACTTCACTCCAATTCGCACTTTGCATTTCGATCTATCCACATGAACAACACCTTGACTCCACTGTCGATAGAGCATTGGAAAAGAAGAGAGTTCAAACCATTTCACCGGCAAATACAAAAAATCACCAAGGTAAAACACTCTCCTTCTCCAACTTCCACCCTCCTCAAGCCTTTTGGGCCGCTCTTCTCTGCCTTCTGCAGTTTTTGAGCTTCATCACCCTTTTTTATTTAGTAGTAGTGTTCTCTAACAGCATACCAGAGATTGAGATAAACAAAAGCCCAAGAAAAACAAGACCAAAGAGTCCACTTCTTCTTCCTCTTCTCCATTTCCCATATATAGCGTCGAGAGCCATTATTATGGTTTCCATCTAGCTAGCTCTATGGCTTATATACATATATGCAGAGAAGCTTCTTTACTACTCTGTCAGAGAGAAGGCTGCATATGGCATCAATGGTGTTTTGTGCTGGTGGAGAATAGTTGCTCCTCATCTTTGGTTTGCTCTCGTTAATTTTCAAGTGAGTTTTGATCAGTAGTAATTTCTGAGATCTCTTCTTTCTGGCTTGGTCAAGAATATTTACATCAATGACAGCTACCTAGCTAGTGGACTGTACACCAATGAAACAGTTATTCAACTATTTGCTGTGGGAACTAATTGATCAGTAGCTAGCTAAGGATCTAATATATCACTTCGTACTTTCATGTTGCTGCACTTGGTAATTGTTGTTGTTTATCTTTGTTTTCTTGTGTGTAGTCAAAGTTTCGGTATCCTGCCTATCTGGACAAGTGTATTTTGCAAGCTGTTAACCGGAAGTGGGCAGAGTTCAAATGTGATCTAAAGAGCAAGCACTTTGGAGTTGGGAAAACAGTGGAGAGCATTATGGCTGAGGGACTCCCACAAGGTGTTACCAATGTAAATCAGTGGTACACCTTGGTAGCTAGCTGGTTTACAGAGAAAAGCAAGGTAAGATTACTAACGGTTTACCAACAGTGGAAAGCATTATGCGTAACATGTCTTAGTTTAGATGCACATGATGAAAAACTCATTTTCTCTTCCTGAAAATGAGTAAAGTAAACAGCGACAACGCTAAGAAGAAGAAGCTGCATCACACGGCACGAAGGAGGAGTAGCCGCATCACACGGCTTGAATTTATGTTTTGCTTGAAATTGGTTCCTTTTTTTTACACAATTGACATTTGTTCCTTAACTTCTTCGCTTTGAAGGGTATCTGGAGTAGTGCAACCAGGTAAATGTCTATGGGATGTATTCCTTGGAGTTTGAGCTTTGCATAAGTCACTACAAAAAAAAAATGAACTTATGCCAAGTGTTTCGTAGCAAGGGTTTTGGAACCCTTGCTAATTTTTCCGGAATTTTTTGTAGCAGCGCTTCTTTCAAAGGGTTCTAGAACCCTTGTGATAGACCAATAATTACACATGTTTTTACCCCTATTCTTGAGCCGTTTGAGATGTTGATTCTCGTGTTTTAGGCCAATTTCACGCTAGGTTGTGCTTGTTTGTGATATTTCAGGTCCTAGTACGTGAATGAAGGTTTGGGAACGAGTTCAGGGTCGATTGGACGAAGTTTGAACGTTTGGCAAGAAGCTGAGAAGCCACACGGGCATGCCTAAAAGCCACGCGGCCGTGTAGGGGACCCCTTGTTGCCGTGTGGAAATTTCAGGGAACTCACACGGGCACCCTGGAAGTCCACACGACCGTGTGGGTCGTGGCCGTGTAGGAACCCTGGTAGTGTATTGGTTGTACGAGAGTCAATCAATTCATTGCTTTGTACTGGAATTCATTCTAGTAGTGGAGATCTGTGTTAATCGCCTTAGCAGTCTATCCCGGTGAAGGCTAGTCGCTGCCGGGTATTTTGTCTAAGAGGGCTTGGTCAGCTTAAGAGATTCCAAGCTAATTTAGGATCTTCCTCAGTTTAATCAACAGTAGATCAACCAAAGGTAATTGCAACTTGGACCTAATTGAGGAGCTAGGGGGAATCATACCTAAGTGAGTTCCCAACTTGTAATTAGTAGAGTAGTTAGTAGAGTAGTTTAGTAAATCAATCCTTAATCTAGTTTGCTAGATAATGAACTGAAGCTGAGTAATAGTAACTCTAGAGACCCGTGGATTCGATATTTATTACTTGTGCCACTATACTGCAATCCCTTTCATTGGTTACACTTGGCCATTTTTAGGTGTTGTGTCGTAGCGAGTCACCTTGCTACTCTTAAACCAAATTTCACCGAAACGTCCCTGCTTCCCCTTTCACATTTTTCATTTTTTTGGTAGCAACGATTATTTTCAAAGGTCCAGAACCCTTGCTAGAACTTAAAACAAATTCTAGCCCCCTGTTCCATTTCACGATACGAGAAACCCCTGTTCCATCTTGCCGATTCTGCCGGAGTGAGATCAGAGAATCAACGATCGGATTTAGATCAAAGCATCCGAATACATCGCCCATCATCACTTCGCTGACTCTGCACTCGTGTTCTTCGACTACCCATTTTTAGATTTGGGTGAATTGGTTCAATTTTCATTGTGGGTCTAGGAGTTGTCGGCGCTTCGCTCGGGCTTGTCGTCGGCAGAACCTGGTTTTGGGTGGTGAAGTCGTTGATTTTCTTATACTTCCTCGCACCATCCTCCTCATACGTGAGAGTTATGGGCGAGCTTTCAATTCCCTCTTATTGGTTGCTTACTCTAACTAGATGGTATTTTTTGTTGGCTGTTCGTTTGTTTGGTTTTTTCATCCTCCAGCAATTCAAACGTACGTATGGACAACAACTCGAACTTGCTTGCTCTGCGCTGTTCATTGATGTGATTGAGGCAACAATTTGGGTTTTTTTGCCTTATAGGTCATTGTTGTTTTACTTAAACTTCTGGAAGCAGTTTGGTATTTTATTAGGGAAACTTTCTTCTCGAGCCAAACAACTCAGTTCATCCCAGTCCAACTTTTGATTGATAGAATCTATTGATTTTGACTTGCAGTGATATCTATAATCGGCAAAATGGACAAGAGCTGGATGAAGAAACATAGAACGAGCAATGAATATAAAGATGGAGTACAACTTTTTCTTGATTATGCATTTCAAAATGCATCTCAGGGAGCAAAGATATTGTATCCTTGTATCAATTTTGTAAATGTATATGCACAAACATGTGAAGATATTAGGGTGAAGCTTATTTGTGACGGTATTCTAAGAGGATATACTACATGGGTATTTCATGGAGAAGATTTATGTTCACCTCAAGCTAGTGATGTTGCTACTTCTTCTTCGCCATGGGCAAATGTTTTGGCTACGGAGAAGCTATCTACCCCTATTCAATCAAATCCAGCAATGAGAGCAGATTTGGCGGGGCTATTTCGGGATGTATTTCACCGTGAAGACCTAGTGAACAACGAACCAACTTGTGAACAAGATGGAAATGTCTTGGAGGATAGTGATGAAGAAAATGATGGTGATGAAGTAAGGGATGGTCTGTTGTCCAATACAGATGGTATAGAAGATTTGATAAAATATGCAAATGAGGAGCTATATTCGGGATGCAAGACATTTTCAAAGCTATTGTTTCTGATGCACTTATATCACCTCAAGGTTCACAATGATTGGACTGCAAAATCCTTCACCATGTTACTTGAGTTGTTACTGCAAGCATTTCCGGAAGGTATATCCTTAACAAAATCTCATTATGATGCTAAGAAGGTGGTTAAGAAGTTGGGTTTGGATTATGTCAAAATAGAAGCATGCCCGAATGATTACAGTTTGTATTGGAATTCTACAAAAGAGGTCGTTTCTTGCTATGATTTTTCGTAAATCTAGGTATGATGTTGGAAAAATCGATGGACTCAAGGTTAAAGCAACAAAAGTTTTGCGTTATTTTCCTTTAATCCCGAGGTGGCAAAGATTGTTTGCCTCTGAAAAGACAGCAAAACACATGAGGTGGCATGATGAAGTTCGTAAAAAATATGGATTGTTGAGACATCCGACTGATGGAGAAGCTTGGAAATCTTTTGATGCTAGACACCCTAGTTTTGCTTCGGATCCACGCAATATCAGATTGGCTCTAAGCAGTGATGGGTTTACTCTGCATCAATCAATGAGATCAACCCATAGTACGTGGCCTGTGGTGTTGATACCTTATAATATGCTTCCTTGGATGTACTTGAAACAATCCTCTTTCATATTATCAATGATAATTCCTGGACCCAAAGACCCCGGAAATAATATTTATATCTACTTAGAACCGATGATTGAAGACTTGATCCGACTTTGGGAGGGTGTGACTACTGATGATGCTTCCACTAAGCAGAATTTTACTATGCGTGCTTCTTTGCTCTAGACCATAAATAACTTTCTTGGGTTTCTTTCGGGCTAGCTATGGGGTTTCTCTGAGTTATTTTAATTTAAGAAGGGTGGGGGAGTAAAACTTGTGAAAAGGAACGGTAATGGGGCGTCCTAACAATTCCAAAAAGCCAAAAAAATAAATAATATTTTTTTATACAATTTTTTTATCAATTCAAAATATATAAAACGACACATTTATCCAAAGTTAAAGGATGATTTTGACTAAAAGGGTGATTCGCGACTAAAAGCATCTCCCACTGAAGAGGCGAGTAGTGATCTCCGTCGCCGCTCACTCCGGCCATCGCTTCTCCGATCTCCCTCGCTCACTCCAGCCGTCGCTTCTCGATCTCCCTCGCACACTTCGACCATCGCTTCTTAGATCTCCCTCGCTCACTCCGGTCGTCGCTTCTCAGATCTCCCTCGCTCACTCTGGCCGTTGCTTCTCTGATCTCCCTCGCGCGGTTAGGTTGACAGGCGATTGTCGGATATTGCTCGCTCGCTCCGGTTGAAAGGTTATTCTTCCTTGTCTCCCTGGCGCTCTTTGCTTTCCTGGCTTGCCTCTCTCGCGCGAGCGAGCTCATTTGCAGCCTCTTAGGGTTTGTAGTTTTTAGCTCCGTTCAGCTCCAATTTCTTCATTCTATGTTCTTGTTTGCTTGAGATCAAAGTTTAACTAGGTGTTCTATGCTTCTAGGTATGTTGTACAGTCTGCTATAAGTTATTTCTGGCTTACTACGTGAAACTGATTTGTGCATTCAAAAAGACAGTGTCAGTTGATTGATGTATTTTGCTTTCTTCGGCATCTCCAGGGGGTACCCAAATGGGAACCGCCATCACATCTTTAAGCTTTATGGTTCCATATCAGTAGTTTGTGCAGCTTGCCGATGCTACAGAATGAACACTGATTAGTAGTTTGATGTAATAATTGTTTTCCATCTGTGGTTCCTAAGCTTGGTGTCTAATGAAATGTTTAGCTGTGTCTTCGAAACAAGAGCTGTAATTGTTTCACAAATGTGTGTTAGTTTATTTAATTCTAGTCTTTGGTTAGTCTTTTAAAGTGAGAAAGAGGGGTGCTGTTGTTTGAGTTTGGTAGTTATAAACTTTTTCGGATGTCTACTGTCCTCTATCAGCATTGTTGGTTCTGTTGGAATCCTTCAATTTTGTCATGAGCTCTGCAATTTACAGAGCTTTGTTGGGGCCGAGCTTCTGAAACCATTGGAGGGACTGGTGACTATACTCTCCTTCGCAGTAATAAAGCAAAAAGAGTAAAAGACAGAATTATATTTAGCACAAAGTTTGCATAATAAACATGTCTATGCATGTGGTATAATGTGTTACAAGATCTATTATTGAACCTCGAGATATTTTTCTTAACAACTCGAGTTCTTTGATCAACTTGTTCTTGTTATAAGCTCGGTTTCTGCTTCTCGTTTTCAACTTTTCTGTTCATGATGGTCATTTTGCGGCCTCTTTGTGCCTTTCCTCTTACTGTTGTTGTTTTCATGACTGCAGATGGTTTCAAGTTCAAAGAATCTAAGAAATTTGAGAATCGTTACTGAATCTGATGCTCAAGAGGTTTTTCAGCATGGACACTCATCGTCTCAACATGAGGAAGGGTCTGCTAGCATAGGTACTATATGGAATATCAAAATTTACCACTTCCTTTCATCCTTGCTTGCCCTCCTCTGCCAATTTACTTGAAGACATAGTAGAAACTAGAATGTAAGATATTAACCTGTGGATAAAAAGCCCTTTCTTTGGTTTGCTTTCACAAAGGTCAACCCAGCGTGAACCCTTGACATTTCTATCATGGGCATGCAGTTACAATAGTTAATTTGTCATTCAGTGTCAAGTGAAAGTGGCAGAAATCAAAAAACACGAGGAAAGACGAGGGTGCAAGATGTATGGAACATGGATGCAAGTGAAAGGATCGAATTGGAGATTGAAGAATTTGGAGTTCTGTTTGGTGGCTAGTCATCTCTTTTTGCATCATTTCTTGGGACGATTGCAAAGAACAACACCTTGACTCCACTGTCGATAGAGCATTGGAAAAGAAGAGAGTTCAAACCATTTCATCAGCAAATACTAAAAATAACTAAGGTAAAACACTCTCCTTCTCCAACTTCCACCCTCCTCAAGCCTTTTGAGCCGCTCTTCTCTGCCTTCTGCAGTTTTTGAGCTTCATCACCCTTTCTGATTTAGTAGTAGTGTTCTCTAACAACATACTAGAGATTGAGATAAACAAAAGCCCAAGAAAAACAAGACCAAAGAGTCCACTTCTTCTTCCTCTTCTCCATTTCCCATATATAGCGTCCAGAGCCATTATTATGGTATCCATCTATCTAGCTCTATGGCTTCTATACATATATGTAGAGAAGCTTCTTTACTACTCTTTCAGAGAGAAGGCTGCATATGGAATCAATGGTGTTTTGTGCTGGTGGAGAATAGTTGCTCCTCATCTTTGGTTTACTCCCACAAGGTGTTACCGATGTAAATCAGTGGTACACCTTGGTAGCTAGCTGGTTTACAGAGAAAAGCAAGGTAAGATTACTAATGGTTTACCAACAGTGGAAAGCATTATGCGTAACATGTCTTAGTTTAGATGCACATGATGAAAAACTCATTTTCTCTTCCAGAAAATGAGTAAAGTAAACAGCGACAACGCTAAGAAGAAGAAGCTGCATCACACGGCCGGAAGGAGGAGTATTGCAAGGATAAGAGAGGAATTGGTAAAAATTTAATCCAGTTTAGTTCTAGACAATTGTTGAACTTTTCTATGTTGTTCTAATTTCGAATATGTTAATGCTTACAGAGGGCAAATTTAGGCAGAGCCCTTACTAGAATTGAAGTTTTTGAAGTTCTCCATAAGAGGAGTGACGGAACATACATTAATGACTATGCTAAGGATTTCCATAGTAAGAGCAATACTTTGCTTTGATTCTACTAATTTATTATGCTGCATTCTGATTCCTATGCATTTTTAAATTGTTGTTTCATAAAGGATAAAGCAACCAAAATGGAGGGCCCTAGGGAGGAAGTTTTTCAAAAACTAGCTGGCCCGGAGCATAACTGGAGGCTCCGATGCATGGGGTTAGGGCCAACTCCGACCACATATTTTGGAGTGTGCTCAAGAGGGGCTGCATGTGGATCTTGTTATGCTGGTCATTTATGTGCAGATGCGACTGCTTTGAAAGAGGAGTTAAGGGAGGTGAAGAAACACATGGATGTCATGGCGAGGTTCATCAGTAGACAGTTTCCCGGACAAAATTGGATGGAAGATGCTGAAAACAATCAGGTAAAGTTCCATCTGTCTTTTTTCCTCGTCAATTACGTCTGACTGTTTTTGGTTCTGAGATTTCTACTTTGCTCAGGGTTTTTGCTTGCTATGCTGCTCTCCATAGCGGATTTTGTGTAAAAAAGAGGGTGCTAAAGAAACTAGTCTCTTTGATGCATAGTGAATCTTTAGCTATAGTTCGATATGCCATTTCATAGGGAAGTTTGGTTTCCGGGAGGGACATCTGCTAGTGAGGTATCTAGGTATACTCCTAGTGGCTAGGAAAATCACTTCAGCAGATTGCAAGATATTGATAGATAGAATAGGGTGTCCAAAGACTGCAGATGCAGCCATGACATCCCCTCTTTGTTTCATAAACAACAACTAGAGTTCGATATGCCATTTTGTGTGGCTCCCTTTGCCATGCAATGCAGAGTGGAGTGGACATAGGTTTATAGTCTTTTGCAGTGATAGTATTTACAATGTGAGACAGAATGGAAAAATGGATGCACAGGTGAACGCTAATACATTCTTTTAGTTTAGTACTTTAACAAACTGAGACTTGTGTTTTCAGCTGACTGAATATTTATGTTGCTTTGCTATGAGATATTGGTTGATTCTTTCAATGTTGTGGAAAAATTGGTATTCAGTTCAGCTTAGCTTACATTTTAGGTAGCAAGTAATACTTTTGGTTGTTGTGCTGTTTAGTACGTTTTAAACTGTAGTTGAATTACGTTTTAAACTACTCAGCTACTCTCTCATTGCCTGTGAATCATTCAAGATTGACAGCTCACTTTCTTGCTTGTTTTCTTAGGCCAATTAGCTCTTGAATTAGTGTACTTGAATTAGTGTTGACAATTATTTTCTTTTGTTAACAGGGGTGCCACTAGTGAAGCTGCTCCGTCAATGGGTTCTCGAGCTTTGTGATCAGATGTTGTACATGTCTTACATGAAGAATTTTGGAAATGATCGACTCATGTAGCTTTGAATCGGTTTCTTTTGAGTACTCAAAATATCGTGAACATAATATTTCCCCTTTGATTATGTTTGAATGTTTATGGTGACCAGTATATTGTCATGTAAAGAACACCATTTTTGATGATGAATCATATTATGTTGTGATTCAGGATATGAAGTGTAATATGGTATGTTATGAATTTTAGTAACGAATCTGGATTTGTTTTTAATGACCAGAGTATTAGCAACCAAGCTATAGTTACAAAATCTGTTGCTTAGCTTTAGTAACGAATTTAGCCACCGTTTTGATTTTGACACAAATGTTTCCCAACTTTAGCCACAAACTGTTAAGGGTTTTAACTAGGGCTGGAAAGCAGTCTGGTTCGTTTTAACCGGACCAGATTGACCTAGTTTTTTATAACCGGATTGGACATATGCTTAACCGAAGACGGAATTGGATTGGTACACGGTTTTAACCAAACCGGATTGGATGCAATACGGTTTGGCCCGGGTCCGTTTTTTACCCCTACCCTCTGACTGTAAACTGGATTGGTTTACATGCTATCTGATTTCCGGTCACAACCGGTTTAGTTTAAACTGGACGGTTTTCGGTTTGATCGGAAAACCGGGACCGAATTTCCAGTAAAACTTTTAACCCTTGTTACTATCCCCTATTTATATAAATTTGCATAGGCGTGTGTAGCAAGGGTTCAAACCCTTATTAGGTATTGGAACGAATCTTCCAAGGGTTTTAAACCCATGCTAGGAGTGACTGGTACTTGAATTTTACAAAGACAAAATACCAAGGGTTGAAACCCTTGTTATACCCGATGCAAAGAACTTGCACCAAGGGTCCCTTATAACCCTTGCTACACGTAGCAGGGGCGGCTTTGCCAAGAGTCCAACCAAGGGTTGTACGAACCCTTGCTACATCTTGTAGCAGGGGTTGCCACAGACCTTTTTTTGTAGTGAGTTATAGGTATAGTAAATTGTTATATTGGTTAAATTATTGTATTGTGAATAATCATTACAATATAAAATATTGATACATTCGTTGTATTTAACATTACACAATTTGATTATTGAGTTTATAATTTCGGATCTACTTACATAAAGTAACTTTTTTGGTGGAAATATCACATTTACCCTTTATTTGAACATAAAACATACAAATCTTTCCCCCTTCTTCTCATTTTGAGAACTCACGTCACATCCATCTCTCTTTTATTTCTTCTCTAAACTTCTCCCGACCAGATCTGTTCAAGACTTTCTATGGCTTGCTTATCATTTTTTTTTTTTTTGTCTTTCCATCTCAAATGCTTTGAGGTAAAGAAACAGCAGTAGTGAGGTAGAAATGTACCAGCCAATCGTGGGAGGTCACTCTTAGAAAACCCAGAATATTCTCTCTTATTTTGGGAATAAGTCACATTTTAATTAGGAATATAATTACTTTTATAATTAAAATATAATCTATTAAGATAATTATTCCTAATTATCTTCATAATATTCCTTTTATTAATTATCCATCTTATTTTCGTATTATGAGGAAAATACTGGATAATTAATTAGGAATTTCATGATAGCTTTTCAAAGCTATTCATTCCAACTAGAGGTGACAATTGGATCGGATTCGTGGATTGGATTGGTGGATCCATGGATCAAATGGATTGGTGGAGTCATGGATTGGATCAAATGGATTGGTGGATTGATCCATGAATCCAAATGACATCAAAGGCTTCGACCAAAATGTAAAATTTGAAAAGTTTTGGTACTAAAATGTCAAAATGAAAATTTTTAGGTACCAAAATGTAATTTTCCAATGATATTTTTCGTATAAAAATATAAATTTTAGGTACCAAAATGTAAAATATTAAAAATATAGGTACCAAATCGTAATATGCCATTTGGATCCATGGATTGATCGATGAATCCACCAATCTAATTGGATTTGGATCAAATGGATTGGATTAGGTGGATAATTTGATGGATGGATTGGATTCGATTCGATTCATGGATTTGGATCCTAATTGCCACCTCTAATCCAACCGTCACTATGGAAAAGAGGAGTGTTCATGTCGAGTTTGTTAATTTTCTATTGATGAAGGAATGTTACGAGTTACGATAATAAACCAACAAATGGTAAGGAGCTTTAGCTACGGGTGCTAATATCTCATGGAAATAAAGTCGTAAAATATAAATAAACCCCTCCGCTATAAAACGTGCCTCGTAGCGTTCGAGGTCACCGTTGGGTTTAAACTTGAGCTTTAAGGACCAACTTGGAGTAATGAGCCCATTTGCCGGGGAATAGGGACTAGGTCCCATTGTATGATTGGCTTTAATTAAGAGCTTACATATCTATGCCCAATTGCCCATGGCCTGCTGTCATCGAAGCTGCGAGGCAGCCGGTTGATAAGTTGAATCCTAATAAAAAAAACATGCGCCAAATCCAATCCAATTATGCATCAATATTCTTAGTAACCTTCAACAAATACATGCTACCAGCTACCCAATAACAAACTTCACCCAAACAATAATAAAGATTCCACAGTTTAACAAGAAATTCTATATAGCAAGTAGTTATTAGCTTATGACTTAGCTGTGAGAGCTTTAGCTAAGCCTGTTTCTCTCCGTCTGATATATGAAAACACACGAGAAGATAATTAAGGAGAAACTAATTAATAAAGAAATAGATGGGCACTCGATAGACAGATAGATATGCAGCTAGCTAGCTAGCTAGGCATCGACCAGGCCAGCGCTGTGGTGTGGCAGATGGTTCAAGTTCTTGAGTTGTCGATGGCGAGGACGGTGGAGAGGTTCATCGGATGCATGTACTTGTTGTCGCCGGTGAGGATTTGCTGGACGATGATGCGGTTCGCCCTCTCCGACGGATGGAACGGATCCCAAAACGCGTAGATGTCTCTGTTCGGGCACAGGTTGGACGCCGGCGTGCACAGCCCTATCCCATTGTATGGCCCTTGCCCGCAGCAAGCCACCTTTGACGTCACAAACCCTAACATGCATATGCCCAAGTACGTACACATAATTAACTTGTGTTCAGTGACAGAGTCACGTTAAGCTCAAGGGAGGTTATATAGCCAATACATTTACGCATACAATATAAAACAAATTTTAAAAATAAACTACTTGGACCTTGGTAATACTCTATTCCCCCTCAGCAATGACCAAGGTTCATATCACTGAACTGATATTTGTACCCGCCGTTCAAATTTCTGACTGAACTGATATTTGTACCCGCCGTTCAAATTTCTGATTACGACATTGTTTGTGTTACTGATTAAGCCCTTAAATTACTGAAAAAAATGCTAAACTAGCATAACCCATCAATAAAACCTCATCTGTAGAGAGAGAGAAAAAAAAAAATTGAAACTAAAAAGAATCCTTCATAAGTATATCTCTAGTTTCCTAATAAGGGTCATCTAGAAACTGTATGTAGGTCGGAGACAAGTTGGGAAATGGAAACCCAATACGTACATATGATTTGCTTATCATCCTTATAGCCATCCATAAATAATACCACTGGCTACGTACAGGATTTCTCTGAAAGGAAAAGAAAGGGTTGCCCCACCGGCCAAATTAAGGACGGTGGACCTGTTTCCCGATTTAATGTTACGGCAGCAGCAGCAGGCGGCATTTATTTTAGGTCATCGTCCCATCACTTTCCCCTCCCTCCCACCAGCTGTACTACAGAACTACCCTACCCCTTCAATTATGCACCACCCACTCATCTACCCGCCTTCTAGCTAGCTACTTCCCTTTTCAACGTACGTGATGTATTTATCATCCTCCTAATCATGCCTAAATACTGATAATTTGATGTTAATCACAGATTAGGAGTTTAGGTTTACTTTTCATAGTAAAGCAAAAGAAGACAGTCAGCAATGTTGAAGGATAAGAATTAGGTACGTACCGTAAGCCTGAGGGTTGGTGACGAAATCCATGTTCATCTCGTGGGCATTGGCAGCGATGAACACCGGGGAGCCGATCTCGGCGTTGAGGCTGGAGATCATGTCGATCATCTGAGGGTTGAACAGACCGGCCGCACGTTGGAGCTCGACGGCGCATTCTCCGTTACGGCTCCTCATCGCCCGTTCCGCCGGCACGCACCCCAACGGTCCCGTTCCGGTCACCAACACCCTTCGAGCTCCCAGCTCGTACAGCCTCTGTGCAATAATTTAAGCATTCCATTGACTACAGCATTGTACATACGCACGTACGTACGTACTCAAATAACACACACAAAAATATTGTACGTGACAAGTCTATGTGTGATTATTTAATATACGGGGCACACTAGGGCTGGGTAGCTGGGTTATTTTTACTAGTAAGTTATTGTGCTTGTACGAATTTTTTAGAGCTACGGATTTATTGTACTCGAACGAAAGCTATTAGAGGGTAGGCCGGAAAAAATAAAATATTGGTTGGTGAAAGCAATAAATTAGGGCAGGAGGGCCTACAGCATACCAAGAAACTAAAAAGTTTCTACTCGCTAATTAGCTAGCGAGGTCCATGTGAAGATTCACGGGAGCTAGCAGGAAAAATTGAACATGATGGAGGTTTAGGGTTTCGTAACTAGAATGTATGTGTTTTTCTGTAAGTGCACCGTGTGCACGAATATGTTTATCGGTAGATGTTTAGGATTTACCGCGAGGATCTTGCGGTACTCGGAGATGAGGTAAACGACGTAGTCCGGCAGGGCAAACTGGCGAGATCTGGCGGAGAAAGGGACCAAGTAGTAGTTGTTGACGAAGTCGTTCCCTCCCAAGGTGATGAGGACGAGTGCGTCGTTCACCAGCCGCTGGGCCTGTTGCTGCCCAATCAACCCGGCTACTCTTTGCTGGTACTGCTGGAAATACTGCATTTGCCTCGATATCCTTATGATGTTCAGCTGAACCAACACCAAGAACAAATATTAACTTCATTTATAGAAACTACTAATCTATATTATTAAAAACAAATAACATGTGTCCGGCGTCTTACAAATTGGATGCCGGTGTCGTTGAGAATGCCAATCCCGGCGGAGGCGAAGTTGGCGCCGACGAGAAGACGTTCTCCATTCAGCGCCGGGCTTAGATACGGCAATGTGGCCTCCGACGCGCCAAGCGCCTCGCCTAAGTAGTTACAAAACAAAAAGGAAATTATTAGTAACAAAATGTAAAATTAATTAACCAGAGCATATATACAATATTATCAGTTTCTTGAGAAAAAAATATATAGTTATGTACAAGTACGCGATATAAGTATCACAAGAAGAAACACTATATAAGTTGTAAATTAAATTTTTTGAACTTTTCAGTGTGACGATGGAAATGAAAAATGGACCACCAAGTCCAACGATGTTAACAGAACGCTTGCTCAAAAAGGGAAACTAATACATCACTTTCTCTTATCATTATAACAACCAAAAAAAAATTAAAGTTCTTGATGGGACATGTTAGATAATGTTTGTTTGGATGATGACCATAAACAAAAATTGACGACTTCTCTTGACATGTAACCAAAGGAAAAAGACACTTAATGGGAATAAACAACACTGCGTACGTAGCGGGGAATTACGTACTAATGAGGTCGGGAATGTTGAGGCCGTTGGAGAAGCGGCCGGTGGCGCGGTGGGTCGGGTAGTCGATGCCGTATGGCGGCGCGTCGGCTCTGGCGGTGGTGGCGAGGAAGTTGTTGTTGCCATTGTCCACCAACGAGTCACCAAACACGAAGAATGCTCTCGCAGCTTCACTTTCCCCAGCCAGATTCCCACAGATTACCACAACAACCAGTGCAATAACAGCAGCCAGCTGAGACACTACTAAACACCTCCCCATTGGCAGAGCAACGTTCGCGGCCGCCGTGTGGTGATTGGCCACGTACGGTTGCAATGAGAGAGAGAGAAAAATAAACAAGTAGAAGACTAGCTAGACTAGTTTTCTTATTTGCTGGGAAGTCTGGTGTATGTCTGAGCCAGCCTACCAGTGGGATGCAGATGGTGGTTCAATATATAGATAGAAGAGGATGGTGGCTGATCAGATCTGTGGCAGGGTGCATTAATGGCTGCTCTCTGTGTGTTGAAGAAGGGCTGGCAATATGGAGAGGAGAGCCATGAATGTGTGCAGTCCAAGAGGGTGCATGGTAAAGTTCCTTTTCTTTTTTACCTCAAGCAGCTCTCCGTCGTCGCAGTAAAAATGAGTTCCATGTACGTGCATTTTTCCTAAATCTTAATTTTCAGATCCGTTTTCGGAAATCAAGGGGGGTTCCACGTACATTGTAGTACTACGTATGTACATGCATTACTGCATAAATAAATACGTAACAAAATTAAGAGAAAGCAGAAATGTTTAATCTTAATTCTGATTTAACATTTCATATAATTAGCTATTTAATTAACATTTGAATGAGATCAAGAAGCAGGCTCGTGATTTGTCATCCCAAAAGTTGGGATTATAAAGTGGAATCAATGGGGTGAGTTCAGTAGTGGCATAGCAATAATGGGTATATTAGGCAACTTGATGCAGATGTATGTATTGGGCAAAGTTTCAAATTGCAACGCCATATAGGTGGCAAATTAGGAATTGCTGTTAAGGATATCTGGTCAGATGATCTTCCTCCAATAAATAGCATCCTTGATTATATTGTTCCACTCTTAACTTGCACTTGGAGTACTTTTTTTAATAATTGCACTTGGAGTACTTATCTCTTGTAGTTGTAAGCCCAACGCCCATCGTTGTGCGCATAATAGAATGGATTTTGTCGACTGGTTGGTCAATCTGCATATGCGTATTATAAATGTCCATGATACCAGTTAGAAAAGCAATACCTAGATCCATTTGCAATTTGAGCCAATTATATTGATTCATATGGGTATTGAATTGGATCTAAATGTATTTTTAATTATTTTGAGTTTGGTTTGGGTTTTAATTGAGTCTAAATTGTTTGGTTCATTTAAATATATAAGACTCAAATGGATCTATTAGGGTCCAGATGATTGTACACATAAAAATACTACATTGAGCATTTCATTAATTGTTTTAAACCCAAATACATATTTCATATTAGTGTCTCCACATTTCTGTTTTTTTTTTCAAAAAAAAGGAAAAATTGCATTAGCATTGAGTACTCAATTTTTTTTTGTTATCCAATTATATGGGTCCAATTTAGACACAAACTAAAGATTAAGATAGGAATCTCCCCAAAAATAAAATTACATAAATTTGATTTGTCACATAATAAATTGAATTTGAGAAGTGTTTTTTTGCACCTCTTATATCAGCCACTCACTGACTTAGTTTTTTTTTTTTTTTTCATTTTAAGACCGTACTTAAAAGATTTTGTTATCGTACTTTCTATTCTACTTTGAATTATTATCTTATCTCATCAATTTGATCAACCCGTATGGTTTCACCGTCCATAGTAGCTAGCGTGTATATTGATTTTTTGGTGATATATAGGGTATATATAACACATTAGGTGAATTCCAAATTGGTCAAACACGGGAGAGATAAATAATTCATAAACAAAAAAAAAAAACCGATCTTAATTGACAAGACGTGTTTTAATTTGGGGTGAAATGAAATACTACTTGTATTGTAGGAACTTTGAAATTAAACGTGCTCACTGTCGAACTTGCAAAAATGGTTGACCTTAATTAAGAGAAGTTACCTTGATATGCATCACAAAGCTAAGACCTAACCACAAAAGGAACAATATTTTGTAAAAAAAAAAAAAAAGCGTGGGAGTGTTACAACATATATATACAATGATTAATATGTTTTGACAATTAGAGAGCTTGAAAACAGTCCATGCATAGAAAACCATTATTGGCGAAGCAAACCTGTACGTCCTCATGGCTGTGTATGTTGCTAGGCGGTGATAAGAAGTACTACCGCGCCAGTCCTCATAATCAAATTCACAAAAGCTTGGTGGCCGATTAAGCAGCCATGTGAGAGTGCATAAATGATGTGGGGACTACGTTGCCGCCTACCTGCCCGAGGGGAAATAAACACCTACGTACCAATTATGCACAGAAAACATGGTCAAGACAAAGACCATATATTAGAAAAAGGTTGAATAGAAAATTGCAGGTATGGGGAATCTCATCAACATCAGCCCATCCCTAGTTTTTGCATCAAATACCATGCTCATTCACCCCGATTAGACAAATTCTCCTCTCTTTTTTCCCATATCTAAAACTTGGAAGAAAAATAAATTCTATCATGGAAACCTAGGTGGGTGTTACAGCTTTAATTTGCACATTAACCTGAATGATTGTGGCTGGAGCAATGATGCAACCTTGGTGAGGCGGTGTTGCTGGTTCGTGGTGGAAATCCTTGGTACACCCTTGCATCATTGCATTGGCGAACCGTGGTGCAACTTTGCATGCTCGAGTGCGTGTTGGCCCTCCGGTACTGAGTCCAAATTATAGAGACCTCCTAGACCTTCACTATGTATAGAGCTAGTTTTTATAATGGAATAATGGATTTTAATTATGAGTTTAAAATAACATAAAATTTGGGCTTCAATTATGCGTTTAAAATAGTATAACAAAAATCCCGCTCGTCGTCGAGCTCTGCCCGTGACGTGGGCGAAGCTATTTCAAGTCCCGGAGGCGAATAGGATGAAGTTCCGGCAGACGGAGAGGGTTCAGGATGGCTTCCGAATTCCTCGTGAAATCAAACAACTTGGAGTTGAGAAATGGAAGGATTGCCTTATAGGCCACTTCATCGGGCCGACCCTGAAGGTCACGCTTCTTCAGCAGTGGGCGACGACGTTGGGGAGGGAGGGGGGAGATGGTGTTGTTCGAGTCTCAAAATTTGGTGCACGTCTTCTGGTTTTCTAATTTCCATCAACCTCAACCAGTAGGTGGGTTCTTTTGGAAATGGTCGTCGAGAATCCAACCGGTGGCTCCTGTCGTCGAAACTCTCCCGATTTGGGTAAGGATTTGGGGGATTACTTTAGAATATCATACATTTGAGGGTGTGGAATGGGTTACTTTAGCTAAGCTTCTGGTTTTTCAATTTCCCTCAACCTCAACCAGTAGGTGGGTTTTTCAGTCAGGTCAGTGGCACTACCAAGGTAATCCGGTCTTCTTTCGGAAATGGTCATCGGGAATCCAACCGGTGGGTCCTGTCGTCGAAAATCTCCCGATTTGGGTAAGGATTTGGGGGATTCCTTTAGAATACCATACATTTGAGGGTTTGGAATGGGTTGCTAGTACTGTTGGTCCTCCTCTATGGATGGATAACCCAACTAAGATTGGTGCTCAACTGGGGTAAGCGAACGTTCGTGTGTATCTTCTTGCTGATTGTGGTTTTCCTTCTCGAATTCGGCTCAATCCCAATGATGATCCTGATTTTGTGGTGGATGTTAAATATTTGAACAAGCCCTTAGTTTGTCCTTCTTGTGAGGGCTATGGTCACGATTGTGAGAAGTTGGCTAAGAGTGGTAAACAGTGGCAGCTAAAGCAGGTGAGGAAGCAGATTCCGCCTGAGACGGAGGTTGTTATGTCTGAGGATGTAGGGACGGTGCAAGAGGAAAAAAAACTAATTCTGATTCTTCTGCAGAGGTTTTACCTTCAATTGAGAATCAGGGAGTGGGACAGATTGATCCAGAGCTTGCTCCTACTTTAGGGCTACAATACCCTGCAACAAATCAGGCGTCCACTGTTAGTTTTGCTCAGATTGTAAGAGGATCGCCAACGAATGTTGGGAGTCCTCTAACTACATGGCAATTGGTCTCTGCAAGCAGTTCACCAGCTGTGGCTGGGAAGCTGCCTACATTGCCAACTTCAGGGGTGGATTCTAGCTCTAATCTGAATGGGAAGGGCATTTGAAAGAATAAAAAAGTGGTACTCCTTTCTTAGTTCCTTGGATAAGAAGGGGATGTCGTGGGGGCAAAAAGCGATGAAGATTTTGACATGGAATACTAGGGGTTTTAAGGACCCTGATAAAAATAAAGCTATACAGAAATTAGTAAATAAATATTGTTTAGATATAGTACAATCCTAGAACAAAGAGTTAGAGCAGCGAAAGCAGAAGCTTTGATTGATGAAAGGTTCCCTGGTTGGGGTCGAGAAGTAGCTAACAATGCAAATCAGTAGGGGAAGATCTGCCTTCCTGGAGGAAGGATCTTAAGCTGGTATTTTTGCCAAATCTTATCAGTTTATTCATGCTATGGTGAGTTTTGGGGATCGTTTCTTCACTACATTTGTCTAGGCATCTAATGAAGAGGAGGGTAGAAGGAAGTTATATGGTGATTTGGATATTCTCAAGTTGGTTGGGCAGCCTTGGTTAATCCTGGGGGACTTTAATGCTATATCGAATCCTTCTGAGGCTTCAGACAATCCACCTCACTTTAGTAGTATGCAGGATTTCCGGCAGTTTCAATATAATTTAGAGATTGAAGAGCACAAGTCATCTGGACCATGGTTCACTTGGTACAATAAGCAGGAAGATAATCCTATAGCTCGAAGGTTAGATAGGGCTTTTGTTAACATCAAGTGGTTGGATTAGTTTGGGTCTAGCACTACTGATTTGGTTGATCCTTCTGTATTCGATCACAACCCTATTCTGCTTACCACTGATTCTACTATAAAGTCTCTTCCCAAACCGTTTAAGTTCTTTAAATTCTGGCTAGCGTATCCCAATTTTATGGATTTGGTTAAAGAGGCTTGGTCTAAGGAAGGTACTGGTCCTCCATTGGGGAGAGTTTGTGAGAAGTTGAAAATCCTTAAGGGTTTGCTTAAGAAGCTTAATAAAGAGGAGTAATCCGACCTTAGAGGTCGAGTTAAAGAGAAAGATGGGGAATTGCTTATTGCTCGAGCAACTGCATT